TCTTGCCACTAAGCAACTCTGAGAAATGTCTGGCTCCATTTCGTTGGTAACTCCCTTTGGTCACCGAAGACAGCAGAAAAACAGCAGATAGATCCTCCATAGATTTCTGCAGATGAATTGATTTGAAACAGCGACCAAGCTTGATATCTGAAACTACCAAGAGCATGTGCATTGCTGAGTAACTCACTTCTGCCTTATCTCAGGTTCTTCAGGGCAAAATGTACATGTAGAAAAAAGAAAAAGACACCACATACTTGGGCATTTACATCTGGTTCTCAATGCAACCTTCTGGTCTTTGAAGGAGCTTACAAGCAGGAGTGAGACTGACTTGTTGCATGGTCTGATAGTGATAGGACAAGAGGAATGACTTTAAACTAAAAGAGGGAAGATTTCAGCTAGGCATTAGGAAGACGTTTTATACTCAGAAGGTGGTGAGGCACTGGCACTGCTGCCCAGAGAAGCTGTGGCTGCCCCATCCCTGGAAGTGCTCAAGGCCAGGCTGGATGGAGCCCTGGGCAGCCTGAGCTGGCAGCTGGCAATCCTGCTCATGGCATGGGGATTGGAGCTAGATGATCTTTTTGCTCCCCTCCAACCTAAGGCATTCTGTGATTCTATGATATGATGATTAATGGGCACCAATCACCTTTGCTGCCTTTCAGCAGCCCTCTCTGTTCTGTTACTACCAAGGGTGACACAAGAGCCAGCAACAGCTTCATTACTGCCAGGAGCTCCCAAATGTATGGATTGTTCCCCTTCTGAGTGTGCAAACAAGGCTTCCTGAGCACAGTCCAGTGCCTAGCACCTGAGCTCCCTACGCATCAGTGAAGTCCCCGTCACCCATGGCATGAGTGACCAACCCAGAAAGGCTCCTTTATGTTCATTCAAAAAACACGCTCCCTTCTTTATCAAGAGCCTCTGGCATTTCTCAAATGCTCTCACACTGACCCCACCTCCTGCTGTGTGCAAACTCCACCACACCAGCCCCACGGCCAATAAAAAAGGTAAAAAACTTCTTCGGACTCATATGGCTGAAACAGATGCAGATCCCTGGGCCTCCTCTCCTCCAGGCTCAGCTTAATTAGGGAGCAGCTAGCAAACCACAAGTGTGCTCACAAAAGAAGCTTGCGTCTGAAGGGCTTTGACTGCAGCTCTTTGTAACTAGTCATAAACATCTGGTGCCTGGCGAGCTTGCCTGGCTCTTGGAAGGGGTTTCCAAAGACAAAATTCCTGTAGCTTGCACCTGAATTCTCCACAGTGCACCATATACCACTCAGATCCCTCCCCTGGCTCCTCTTCTAAGCTGCCAGCTTTGCAAAAAAAGCCATTTCTGGCACTTCTTTTTGTATCATAGCCCCCCACCCACTCCAAACATTTCAAATAGTATGCATAGTCTGACAGGGAACAATTGTTCCCCAGGTTTCCCCTTGCATGTCAGCAATCTTGCAAATTCAAGTGATAGCTCTGGTTCCGGCTCTGTTGGCGCGATGAATCAGAGCCCGCAGTGCAGACTCCCTGACTCAGAGGAGGAGGAAATAAGGGTAATGCTTTTCTTCTCCTTCAGCAGTCCCTTTGCCATTCACGTGCATGCATGCATGAGTGTGCAGCTGTGCTCTGAAGCCAATCTCAGGGAGACTTCCTGAAGCATCTGTTGAAGGTTGAATGATCTCATGTGCAGCTTGTAATGATGGCAACTAGCAAAAATTGTTCCCATCTGAAAGCTGCCCAGTGCTGCATGATCCGAAACGAGCTGCTGACCTCAGAAGAGATCCCAGTGGACAAACCACCACATCACAGAAGCTTGCTCTGCCGCAAGCACCACTAATTGTCCCCTTGTCTTCAGGCTCCAAGTGAGAGCAGCTTCTAAAGGGCAGGGAAACTGTGCTTGTATTACTGAGTGGCTTTCTCCTAAGCCTCATTTCCAGCGTGTTTGGGGACGTGCTGTCCGTGTCCTTGCCGTGATGTACCTTTGGTCAGGTAAAGGACAAAACTGTGGTTGTTCATCTCAACATTAAGTCACCCCTAATACAATTCCAATCACAGAACTGTTGTTGTCCATCTCAACAATGCAGCTCCCACACAAAACCAAACTCAGCCTCAGTGTAGGAAAAAGCAAATGTGCCACGAACTTGGATGCTCTGGCTGAATCTAACTCCAAAAGTGGCATTCCAAAACCTGCATGTTTCTGTTGTAGCTGCATGTCCACAAGACAGTGTTGAAATTATAAGCAGCTCACTGCTGTGGCTCTTATTCCCCAGTGAAGGTTGTAAGTACCAGCGTGGTAAAAGGATCTTGATGGGTAAAAATTATGCTTCCATTTAAGACCCACTAATGGCACCTTGTGCATCTGTCATTGAATTAACAACATCAATTTGAAACCATACGTAAGCCAGGCAACTGGTTGAAGGGAACAGCTTGCTTACATTAGGAGGTCTGGCTGAAGAGAGAAATTAGGCACTGTTTCTCCTGAGAGCCTGTGATCAGCTAGTGAGAAAGCAGATACTTTCTTGTGGGTATTCACATTTTTGCAGATTGTATTCCCTATGTGTAAGAGGGTGAGACCTCTCAGATCAATATGGGCAAAACGAGTGGGAGGCTGCAGCATAATATTTGGGCAGCAAAGGAAGAGTTATGGCAATGGTAAAACACACATATATGTCCTGGAGAGTAGTGCTATGGAAAAAAAAGACCCAAACTCAAGCTATAAAGCCACATTCACCCCCTCCTGGGGCAGCAGCCAGGGCCACATGGGGCACCCCAGGGCACAAGAAATAGCACATGGCGCCTGCACTTGGCTGGCTGAAAGCTCCCCCAGAGCTGCTGTGTTTGGACAGTTGGAATTAATCATGGGAGGGAAACGTAGCTGCACTTAATGAGCTGAGCACTGTGAGCTTCGTTAGCAGAGAGGACAGAATAGGGCAGGATAAGTACATAGGGGACAGTCCCAGACAGAGGAGAATGGGTTGCACAGGCATCTCATCTACCTGAGTTGCTTATTGCACAAACTTCCCAAGCAGAACAACTGCCAACAGCTTAGAAAAAGGGTTTCAAATTCCTACTTCATGCCAAAATGACAACAGGGGACACAGGGACAGAGGAATGTTTTCCAAAGGGTGTGAACTGCTGCTTTTTAGATGCTTATGTGTTCCACATGTCTGAGCGCTTCCCAGACACGTTTTCTGCACACATTGTGTTACCATCCCACGGACAGACGGGCATCTGGAAGCACAGAGGGATGTTTTTGGAGGCCCACGTGGCAGTCTCATGCTTGACCCCTGTTGCTGTCAGTGGGAGTTTGGGCCCCAAACTTCCTTTTCTTGCCTTTGAAGCTCTGCTGAAGTGCGCTGAGAGCCTGTAGGGGAGACAGAGTCTGCATTCAGATAGCAGTTCCCAGCTTAACCCTTTCACCCCAAGCCCGTCCTCTCTCAGTAGGTAAAATAATGGGCATTTCTGTGTTCCATTTTGTGATTACGCCTTTTATGCGGAAATTTGCTTTTCTGTACAACAAATAAATCAGTCTTCTAAGGAGAGTTTAAAATCCAGCCCTTCGAACTGCCCATCCCTCTTGGCCTCCTCCTCCTCTGCACTCAGACCACTGGGACAGCCTGGGAGCACAGAGCTCTCCAAAGGGAACACAGGCAGTCACAGCCCCCACCCTTCCATCCAGCTGTAGAAAGGAAAAAGGCAACAACAACGATAAAAAATTGCAATCCTGATGCCCTGGGATATTAGCAAGGAGAAAATCTTTGTGTCCCTGCTGTGGCTTGCTTTATTTTCTAGATTTCACCTCCACTAGTAGCTTAATCAGTGCAAATCAAATCACGCCTCCTGTTTACCGATCTCCAGAGTGCTGACAATGGCAAGCAGCTTATCTCAGCGTGGCAGGACTCAGCTCTTTCCTTGGGGGTCGGACAGGAACTCGACAGAAGCTGCTTGTAGTGGGAGAGGGAGCATAAATCAGGGAGAGCTCTGCTGGCTCTGCTCCCAGCAGAGGTAACCAGCTCTGAGGAGATGCCAGCGGGTGGATGAAGAGCCTGGAAGCCAGGGTTTGGATTTGGGCTCAGTTCTTTGTAAGGATGTGGAAGTGGGCGGTGCTGCCCGCAGCGCGTTGGTCGCAGTCACCGAGGTGCTGCTGCTGCTTCTACGCTGTCCTCTCTCCCGCCGGCCCGCCCGGGGCTGCTGCGTGGCAGGCAGGGACTCCTGCACAAGGCGTGGGTAAGGGCAGCGAGACGCAGCTTCTGCGGCGTCCCAGCGCCCGGGAGCTGCACACTCAGAGGGCGGGCTGAGTCCCTGAGACCTGCCCACGCTTACTCAGCAGCGAGGGCATCGGGGAGCGGGTCACTGGGAGCGGGTCACTCCGTGCCTCGTGGATTGGAAGGGACTTTTGAGGATCGAGTCCGAACCCCTGCTATAGCAGGATCCCTACAAGGAGGCAAGGCTAACACGACGTGCTGATTCCCGTGCTTCGGAGCGCCGCTGGCACGCTGCAGCCTTACTCAACCCCCAGGCACCGCCAACACGAGCGCTGTCAGCACCCGAGATAAACTCACACCGCTTTGCTTCCGAGTGCCGGTGCGAGCCGGGGTAAAGGCAGGGCGGAGCGCCGAGTGCCCCGACAGTCCTCGCAGCGCAGAGGTGTGAGCCGCCCCTCGGGCTGCCTTACAACGCCTCTGTGCGCTGCAAAAGCCCGAGGGCTCGGCTGAGCGCTCTCGGAAGCAGGAGAAAGCGGCCGAATCCCCGCTTTCCTGTAACTTTTTCACGTTTGTAATTAATCTGCAAAGCGAAAGCGTGCCGCGCAAGCTACGACGCAGGGACGCGCCCGTCCGTCCCCACCTCCCGCCTCGCTCCGTTGCGGTGGGAGCGGGGCCGGGCCGAGCCGGGCGGGGCGGAGCGGGGCGGAGCGGGGCAGCCCCGGCGCGGCGTCGGGAGAGAGAGCGGGGCGGAGGGCAGGGAGCGGGCAGGGCTTAGCGCGGAGGAGCCTCACCCCCTCCTTCTCCCGGCAGATATTCCAATGGAGGCAGCTGGAGAACCTCTATTTCCGCGAGAAGAAGTTCTCGGTGGAGGTGCACGATCCGCGCAGGTGAGAACCGTGCCGTGCCGTGCCGTGACGAACCGGGGGCTGCGGGGCTCAGTGGGATCCCCCGCTGTGGTCTGGGGCTCGCTGCGCTTTGTTGCCAAACCACCCATAGGCTGGACCCCTTCACCAAGGGAACGCTTCCTCTGTGTCGGGTGGGTACATTCCCATTGTGTTTTCCCCCCCGGAGCCCGGCAGCTTCGCTCCTTTATGGCCCCGCGGTGCAGCCCGGGGTCCCGCCGCAGGGAGCGGGTTGCCGTGGTCCTCCGGTGGCTCTCGGAGATGGGAGCCGGAGTTTGTACTCACACGTTCCCTTGTAAATAAATATTCAGGAGTTCAACGGAAAGGAATGGCACCGTACCAGAGATTTACGGGCAGGCTGGATGCAAGCCCATCAGTCTTTTTTGGCACAGGACCCTTTTTTGTTACTTTGGAGACCTAAAGTGGGAGAGATCGAGTTCAAGTGACTCTGTTGTGTTCAGTGCCTGCAGTCTGCACACCTACTTGTTTGTCTTAGTGAATGGTTACTGCACACAGTGACCAGTGTACAAATTCCTCTGTAAGTTATTGTCACTGAAATCAACATTCTGCTTTTCAATTAGACATGAAAAGGGCTGACAGAAACTCTCTTCCCAGGCTGATTTGATGGTCGTGGTGTATTTTGCTGATGGCTCGGCTGTGATCCTGTTTCACCTGTTTCCTGTGCATATCTGTATAGTAGTACCTGTACTTTTGTTAGGGAAATTTTGCATGCAGTTTCTGTGAACATGATCACACCACTGTAACGGTGGCTGTATCCATACCATAGGTGTGTTATCTTAAAGCAAAAACAGCAGAAAACCACTCAAACCAGACTGCAGTTCCAGGTCAGCAGAGCCTTGAAGCATCTGCTTAATATTAAGCATGTAAATAGTCGCATGAAATCTAGCAAAGTGAATTCCCAATGCTGAGAATGTTCTGGGAGACCTTCCAGCAGTAGGAGCTGGGGGTGGTGCACTCCTTCCTCCACCAACTGTCCATCAGCAGCAAGGCATCAGGAACGTGGGCTGCGAGCAGCAAGGAGCCCCTGAACGCTGAGCTGGCTGCTTCCTGTAAGCAGCAATTCCAAGAGAGAGCAGTCAGCTCTGCGACATTCAAGTCATGATATTTGCAGCTCTGTGTCATGCATAAATTGTGACCACGCAGAGGAACTTCTCTTTCCAACCGTGTGTCATTTGTGTTTATTTGGATGATAGGAATTAATGACGCTGGAGAACCTCTGCTTTTTATTCCACCACGATGTTTCCCTGAATCAACACCAGGAGGACAAAGCTCTATCCACTGTGAACTGTTGTCTGCCTTTTTGTAGGCAGAGAGTACCTCCATTCATGTCAAACTGTTACTCTGGCTGTTTTACAGCCAGCCACGTTGCAGCAGTGTGCTGGGAGCACTGCTCAGGTTGTAGTCAGCCTCCTGGCCGAGGGGGACAGACTCCTGTTTGGTGTGGGGAGGCGGAGGAATAGCCACCACAGTGCTCTCTGCATTCCTCTCCATGTAGCCAAACCAGAGCCTGAGTCAGCAAAGCCACACTCACAGGCATGGGAGAAGCAAGCACAGCTCCATGGTTGTGGCCAAGACTGGGCAGCACAATGTATGTTTTTAAGCCCTGTCTCTGCCTGTGGCTTCCTGTCCTGTGCAAACCACTTAACCTCTCTTCATCTCAGCTACTTATCCCGTGAAGGAGGGTAGCTGTGCATTTTTGTATCAGCAGGGTTAATTCCATAGCACATGTGGCATGCATGGAGGAAAGTCACAGAAAAAGCACCCAAGAGCCATCTCTCATAGGCTTCTTTTGGGAGCCAGCTGTGAAAAGCAACTCAGCATCTCTTAGCAAGTGTGCAGACTTCCTCACAGGATTTACAAATTGGACAGGAAACATGTAGAGATACCAGAAATAAAAAAAAAACCCAAGCCATCAGAAATCACTGCTTTTAAGATGAAAATATTAATGATTTGATGAATATGCTTCTGGGAGTTCAAAACAATGACTGAAAGAGATGGCACCAGAATTAAGGCTCCAGCCTATGTGCCTGAATGCCTCAGAACCTTATATGCCAATACGCTGCAGTGATTAGTGTACCTTAAATCAACACAGAGCATTCAGAATCCACTCTCCAGCCTCAGTTCCAGGAGCACTTTGTCCCAGCACTGCTTTCATTCGCTGTCCAGCAATGGGGGTCAGGCAACCCTGCTCTCATCCTCACCACCACGGCCATCAGCCTCCGTCCTGCTGCACCCATAGAAAGTTTTCTCACAGCAGTTATGACAGCAGGTTTCCTGCTGTGTTTGCATGCACAGGGTAGCATAGAAAGGGCTCAGCTGAGGGTAGTGCTGAAACGTGAGATCCTGATTTCCTAAGACCTTGCTTGCATTGGCTGTGGCTTTTTGCTCAGAGAGATTTCACTCCTGTTTGCAGCTCTGCAAGTTGATACAATAACACATTTTGCAGCACTGAAAAATCCCTGACACAAGAACTCAAGCAGATCCTGGCCAGCAGTTCACATTTCTACACAGTTTTCTTTTTCTTTCTGTCTTTGTTCTGTCCCAACTTCTTTTTACTTCCACCTGCACCTCCAGTTTTGGACAGCCGTGCCTGAGAAGAGTTGGGCAGTGCAGATATAGTGGGGAAAACAGTGCTTTTTAGCAGACTTGGGCACTTCAGAGCACTGGGAAAAGAGTCAACCATCTCTTGTGCTGCCCAGTAGAGCTCCCAGGCTGTCCTGCACTGTCACCTCCACATTTTCATTGCAGAAAATGGCCTGCTAGCACCCCTCTGTAGCATGCCCCACTCTCCATGCTGGAGCTCTTTTCACAATGCACGTCTCTGAGGAAAAGGCCATAACGAAAGTACCGCATTTCTGTGGTCTGATTTTTGGGTGTTCCTATGTGGAGCCAGGAATTGGGCTTGATGATCCTTATGGATCCCTTCCAACTCGGGATATTCTATAATTCTGTGATTTCTGACCCAACCTGTGTACCATCGCTCACATTTATTTCATAATCATTCAACCACAAGACTGGAGAGCAGAACGTCATTTATTTGGGGCTATGTTTTCTCCAGCCACCATTGTGTCCCTTCAGTGGGAGGAGTTCAGCAGACCAGGATCATAGAATCGTAGAATAGCCTGGGTTGAAAAAGACCTCAAAGATCATCAAGTTTCAATCCCCCTGCCGTGGCAGGGTCGCCATCCACTAGACCAGGCTGCTGAGAGCCACATCCAGCCTGGCCTTGAATGTCTCCAGGGAGGATGCTGTGAGCTTGTGCAGTATTTATCCAGCAGCGTGCTGGTGTCAAGGACTGTGCTGGCAGGGTTAGAGTTGAGGGATAGGAAAGAATAATCGGGTAGTTTTGTACAGCTGTGAAAGCATGGGGAAACCTAACCTGTATTTTTTGTTAATATTTGAGGACAATTGGGAGTCCCAAAGAGGAAACACTTAGCTCTTATTTTTCCTGTTTTCATACTCTCTCAGCTAATCGCTGAGTAGCATTCTTCTCTCTAGGGCACCATGCAGCCCTCTCTGAGCCTCACAGGTTCCCATACCACATGGCAAGTCCTGTCCTTCCATTTAAAAGAGAGAAAATCAAGGTTTTTCCAAGAGTTTCTTCCACATTCTGTAAAACAAATGCTGATCCTGTTGCTTTTTGGTAATCATCAGGGTCCTAATATTTGAGACCCACATCCAAAGCCAGAAGTGCTGAAAGGCGTGAGGACTTGGCCTCAGGTGTCTCAGCATGTGGTAAGACACACAAGATTCATCCAGGCTTGGCTAGGCGTTAGTGAGTCCCCTGGGACCTCTACTGCTAGGACTTGGGAGCACTTTAACTTTTACTATTCAAAGTAAAGTCTGTCGTGACTTGAGTAGCAGTTTACCACTGATATCAAAACATTTTTCCCATCAGTGCAAGGGTGTATTCAGTAAAGGTAGTACTTTTCACTGTGAGGTCTGTGGTTTTCTGTGGCAGAATATACCTGAAGAAAACACGGTGTAACCCCAAGTCATTCTTTCCTCTTCTCTAGGGCATCTGTGACCAGGAGGACTTTTGGGCATAGTGGTATTGCTGTGCATACGTGGTACGCCTGTCCAGCACTGATAAAGTCTATCTGGGCTATGGCCATTAGTCAACATCAGTTCTACCTGGACAGAAAGCAAAGCAAGGTAAGCATGTTGAAAGTGAGGAAATAGACGTATTGTATGGGTGAGTTGTTCTCACTCCTCATGGTCCCAGCAAGGTCAAAGTGGCTCCTCTACTGCCCTCTATTTCCACTTGAGATCAAAACAAGGCAAAGTAACTCAAGATACATGCTGACTTCTGCCAGGCTAAAGGAATCTGTAATTAATTCATATCTGTGGGAGCAAGGTTTGAGGGGAAGATTGTACTGAACTATGGCCAAATTGGAGAAGCCAAAGTTTGCAGACAGATAGGGTCAGGTCCCTGTCTGGATGATTTCTATAGTGTCTTCTGGTTCTTCTTTGTGGTTCAAAATAGCTTCAGACTACAGCTGCCTCTGAATTCATCTTGCTATCCCTTGCCTTTTACTATTTTATTTTCCCAGAAATGAAGAGTAGAGGATGTTATTTATTTCTCTCACTTCATAGAATCTCACAGCAGATGAGAGGTTGGGATGCTGATAGCCTGGCCTTACAAGCTACTGTCTTATTGTGGTGTTATATATACTGTGGTGCTCAATACACAAAAGAAACCAACTTGAAACCAAAGGAGTGTGTGTATTCCCTCTAATTCCTTTCATCAGCAGTAATTTTAGTCATACTCAGAGCAGCAGAAGATGGCTTTGATCACTTTAAGATCACTTTGAGACAGAAGAGAGACTTCTCATGCAGACATCCATCTTCATATGAGCATTCAGTTGTAAAACTTGACAGATAAGATAAATATTTCGTTGAATGGACAAAATTGCAGGTTCACCCAATAGCAGATGAGAGTTTTCTGTCTGCTATTTCTGCTCAGCACTACCAGAGCAATATATTACTCTCTCTGTTGCTCTCAAAAAAATATACTCTTTGTTGCTCTCAAAAAAACAACTCGGCAAACAAACAGAAGTTTATTTTTTTTTACTTTTAGCCAGATGGGTTGGCAGATCTAGCTGCAAGGTATTTAGGTCACTAGAAACCAATAAACAAAAGAAGATTCTCTGCTCCTCCCATTTCTTTGGTAAGAAACAGGGTCTTTTAAATGCCCAGGACTTCCCTTCAGTCACTTCCTTTGTTGTTGGCAGATTGTGTTTCAATCTGATCTCCCCTCTCTCACACTCCTACAGACAGCACCACCTACCAGCCCTCGTTTGTCAATCTGTCACATCTCTTGCTATGTCAGAGTGCTTTGTCACAATAATCCAGTGGTCATGCTGAGGCTTTGAAGTTAAGGCACACAAATATTTTTGTCCCTTTTTTCTTAAGGGAGCTGGTGTTTCAGTCTGTTGTCCTCATCTTTGACGTGACACTGCCAAGATTGATAGATCCATCAATTTTAAGTGATGTGTTCAATTCATCTCTCTGGTCACTTCAGGACACTATATCCATGTGTGCTTTGCTTTTGAATACCAATAAAGCATTTGCTAGAGTAAGGCAATGTGAAATGTCTTTGTTTCAATTCTTAGGGGCTCAAGCAAATGTTTATTTGAGTTTCAGGTCACGTGGGTTTGCATCCCCTTAAATCTCACTCTGCACTTCAGATGAATTCCCAGCTTCAAAGCACAACTTAGATATTCCTTGCTTTTATGTCCAAACTTGGCATTTCACATAGTTTTGACAAAAGAAAAAAAAATAAAAGCAAACTGAGATGAAAAAGCCTGCTGGAACTGATCTCAACTGAGCCTTCACTTCAGTGGTTAGGTTCTATGGCAGGAGATAAGACATACTGGATGGAGCAAGCTTGAAATCTATATGAGCAAGCTCATATAACTGGGCACCAGCTGGATTTGGATCTTCTGCACAGCTCCACTGGAAAAGTCTATTCACTTGATTTTAAAATCAACCAAAATCATCTCATATGGATTTTGACCCTTTTGCAAGGAAGTGAGGTCCCAGCTTTCTTTGCAGCTTCACGCTGCATTGAACTGCTGCCAACTCGCCAAGTTCCCAGCATCTCACTCCCCGCTGGCTCTGTATGTCTCTCTCTGCAGTCAGAGTGTAACACAGAGTCTGAAAAGATCCCCAGCTTTCTGAGTGAACATGTCAGTGTGCAGAACTCCTGTCAGCTTTCTGAGACGAATGTATCAGGACTTTAAGCCATGTCTTTGCTCTGTTGACTGCACTGAGTCAATCAAACGTTTGGCCCAGAAGCTTTGAAAAGTCTCCTTTTATGGAAATTTCCAGTAGCACATTCCTACAAGCACGGCGCTCTTTGGCTCAGTGAACTGTCAGAAAATGGGCCCAGGCTTTCAGAAAATCCCACTGAAACACCTGCAGCAAAAACCCATCACTGCAAGCAAGAAGGATATAATTCATCCCTGGTGTCCATCTACTCTTGGTTTTCACTGATGTATTTTCCTTCACCTTCTGACCCTGTCAGAATAGCACTGGGGATCAGTTTGGCCCCATGCTTTGAGATGACTCATGAATGAGCTTGTCTCCTCTGTGCAAATGAGACTTGGCAGGTCTGCACTAAGTGCTTTAAATTTTTTTTGCCTTGAGGGACTGCAAGGCCCAAGGGAGTGCTAATGGGATGTAATCTAGCTTTCCGCTATTGTGCTGTCGGTACAAAGTCTTGCACAGGCCTTGCACAAGCTGCTGCTCAGTGGCCTGTATGAAATGAGCTGTTGGTCTGATTCTGCCATCAATGAGTGGCTGTCCAAAGCACAAGACCACCTGACACTGATTGGTGTTGCTGGGGGCAGCAAAGGCTGCAGGGATTGAGCAATGTGAAAAGTTCACCCAGTTTCCTTCAGGAGATGCTCCATCCCCACTTGGTGGCAGGGCTCTAAAACATTCCCTGCCAGCTTCAGCAGGTTTGGGCTGCACCCTCTGTGGTTCCTCCACAGTGCCCTGCTGATCCCCAGTCTGCTGTCTTTTGGTATGCTTTTCTTCTGCCCAGGCGCTTGGGTTGTCAGGCTTTGGTCTTAGCCTGCTATTTCATTTGTCCAATTTTGGGCATATTTCCAGCTGATGCTGGCTCGGCATGTTGGCCAGGACCACAGCATCCAGTTTCACTGCCTTCCCTTGGCATACTGGTTAGTGCTTGGTCAAACAGGTAGGGCCTGAGCGTGCACTAATTTTCAGTCTGAAAATGAGTGGAAATAAACTACAGGACTGCCCACTCTAATTATTCTACAAATACAGGAAAACTGTCTCCTCATGGAGTGGGAGGATCAGATCTGTCTGTGCAGACTTGGGGTTTATAGCCTTTCCTAGACATCCACTGCAAAGACTCAGTATAAGGGGTTAGAGTTGGCCACAATGGCTATTCCTGGGGTTACACAAAATTTACATAACCCTACATAGCCATAGGGTTATACAGCATATATGCATCTGAAGGAATAAATCACCAGGACAGCAGCAGCCTGAAGACTCATTGCTTCCAAAGATCTGGCATTGCAACAAGACAGCAGGTCATGCTCAGGCTCCTTATCAAAACTCAGCAGGAGGAAATCTTGTTAGATAAAAGCAGTGACTTTCCTCTTCCAGAGCCATTTGGAAAACATTGTACACAACCTTCTTGCATCTTATTTTTGACCAGAAACCTGAGTTCAGGAAAAAAGTGTCACAAAAGTGACACAAAAAGTGTCCTACCCTTCTCCCTGGACTGAGTCTGGGGTAGAGCTGCTGGAAATGAAAGGAGTCTGCCTCGTTGTAGCATTAGTTTAAGATGGTCAATACTGGTTGCCTGATCTGCTGTGATACATTGGCAGGTAGTTTTGCCTTCACACTCAAATGAATGGGTGCACAACCTTTGTTCTTAGGGTCGTTGTGGAAATAAGCTTGTGAGGCATTCAGGTGCCTCTGAACGGTAATAACAGAGCCTATAAATACCCAATAATATCAAATTGTAATAATACCTCTGTGGATGCTTTCAGTACGAGGCTCTCCCAGTGCTATCTTTGTTTACAGTTTTAAATTAATCTCAGAAACACAGTGTGCAACAGGGAGACATTTTATTGCCATTATTATTTCACTGATGTGCCAACAGAGGCAGAGAACAGTTAGGAACTTAAGCTGAAGTGTCTTTCCCAGAGCCTCAGAGCAAATCAGTAACAGAGCTGAGAGTGGTGAGCATGCAGCCATCAGTTCACCCTTAGTTCTTGTTAGAATGATCTCTCCTTTCTGAAGATGTGAAGGAATGCCAAAAACCCCATCAGAGCAAACTGTCCCTGCTGGTCCACCTCATGTTAGTTCCCTTGGGAACAGATCATGTGCCTTCAGTGCCCTACTGAACAGAAGTTTTCGTTATTCCACAATGGCTTAATGAAATGTTTCCTTATGCTTCTCCTTGGAATGCTTGGAAATTACCCTGTTTGGAAGACGCAGGATTAGGGGGTTGTTCTGATGTAGTAGTTGCTATTTTAAGGTGATTCAAATACTGTACTGCTCAGAAAAAAAGGTCTGGAAAATTATTGTGGCAACTAAAACACTATCATGTGTAGAGTTCATCCTTTCAGGTGCTAGGGCTGTCACTAAAGAGCCTTCCCCAGCAGCCTTAATCAGTGTGCTTGATCCTCTTGTTAAGCAAGCATCATGTTAAGATGCTGTCAGCAACATGAACTGGAGATAGGTGACAAACTGCTAACACTGAGGTTTGTATTGCAGAGGCAGGGCAGCCTCTAGGACTGGATGAGCCCAACTCTGCAGCCAGCTGCTGCACTTGTTTTGTTGCTCAGTGCACTGGAAGATTTCTGCCTCCATTGGCTCTGTGGGGCATAATGACGTCTAAACTCACAGTTCCAACAAAGGAAATTCAGGGGTTATCTCACCTGAGCTTTCAGGGCATATTGTCCCGAATTCTTCCTCAACAAATTGAAAAAGGATGACATCTAAGAAGATCAAGTCTTTCTCTCCTAAGTTAGGTTTATGCACTGTGCAGGTTTACTTTCCATAGGGTGTGCCTTGATTGCTGACCCGTGGTGCTATGCAAGGTCCTGGCACAGCCAGTTATTGAGCTGGAGCTGGCTGTTTTCTTACTTGACTAATATTAATGCTTTGGAGACTTCTGTCACTGCAGGTGCATTGTGTGCTGCCTGTTACTCTGAACCATAACCAGAACATGTTTTCCTGCCAGTATTTTCTTTCAGGTTCTCATGAGAGTCCATTTAAGCTATGTCCTCATCTTGTTGGTCCAGAGCTCCTAGTAGATTTGGAAAAACCTTTCCTGGCTTCTTTTAGGTACTAAAAGAAGGTGGTCTTTCACCTTTGAGCTTATGCAGTAGCATTTCTGAAGGTTTCTTGTTGTATTTGGTAACAAAGTGAGTCTATACTTTCAAGAGGGAAAAATATCCATGACAAAGCAGAGAAAATAACAAACAACAGGAAATGATGCCAGAATTGCATCCACTTATGAGTGTAAAAAGTACAGTCCTGAATACAGTTCTGGATTGCTTCCGTTCTTGCAAAATAAACCTAGTTTTTGCTGTGGAGGCTTGTTTCCTGCCTCAGTGGCATGACTTTTTGCTTCTGTGAGCTTTAAAGAAGTGCTAGGCCATTACTAACTCTGTTGTTCATGTCCAGTCCAAGATTCATGCTGCAAGAAGCCTGAGTGAGATTGCAATTGACCTGACCGAAACTGGAACGCTCAAGACCTCAAAGTTGGCCAACATGGGGAGCAAAGGGAAAATTATCAGCGGCAGCAGCGGGAGTCTTCTGTCATCAGGTAGGTCCTCCATCCTGTAAGTGGAAAAAATATGGTGGGAAGGGCTGTGGTCATAACATAATGGGAAGCTGCCAGAAGCTGCACTGCAGAAGTGAAAATCACTTCCCTTTAGTCTTTCTGTCTGTCCAGGTGTAAGTCCATCTCTCAGCATATTGCCCCACATTCAGCACAGGACTCCCTGTCTCTCATTTCAGCTGCTCGTTTCCTCTTTGGCCAGAGGAAGTCTCTCATTTCCTAGCTGAGATCTCGTCTCTCTTCATAGTCTCTGCTGTAATCACCCTGTGACACCCAGCTCATCTCAGGCTGTTTGCTGCCTGAGGCCAGTGTATCCATGGAGCAGTTCCCAATCTGCAGTGGGGAAGTGGTCAAGCAGCTGAACCCAGCTGAGGCTGGGAATTGGTGACATCCCTCAGCACTGTCAGGGCAGGGTGGCTCCTTCACAGAGTGCACATCTTCCTTGCCTCTCTTGCAGGAATTTGCCTGGTGCCCCGGGCCCAAAGGAGTTGTTCCTGAGCACCCTCCACCAGCTTAGTGCCAGGGACCTAGGGGTTTCTTTTTGTGCCTTAGAGCACCTTCCAGTGTGAGGAGGACATAATCAGTGAAACAAAATCAAGAGAAGTTGATGAGGGAGAGAGATGGAGCATCAAAATGGAAAGAACAGGAAAGGGGAGTCAGGTGCTTGTCTGTATTTCTTTGACTGACTTTTCTGTCAGTCTGAACAGGCGAAGCTGTATATAGAACAGTGCTAAACACTCTAAGATTGATTGATTGCAGAATGCTTGAAGCTGCTCAGGTGATAAGCTCTTGAGGAGGGCAAAGGTGCTGGTATCAGTATAATTAACAGTTCCAGTCAATTAAATATCCTCTGCTAAGTGTTACATCAAGTTATCAAAATCAGTTGTGATGAGCAGAGAGTAACTTTCCTGTGCTTGCCAAGGGAAGAGTCCACCTAAGAATGCACATGCTTTAAAACTTAACCCTCCTCGATGCAGTAGATCAGTTTTTCATCACTGTACATCCTTCATGTCTTGTAAAAGCCACATTCTCCTGCCTGGAAAATGTCAAGCAAGGGGTTAAAATGCTCAATGACTTCTGAGCTCTGGGCTTGCCTGCTGTGCAATTCCTTGCCTTGCCTGTGAACAGAGATGCCTTTCTGCTCCTTAGGTCCTCCTGACACAGCACACAATCCACCATCTGTACCTCCCATCACTCAGGGAGCGATGCAGTAGCTGAGCAGCTCCCGGCCTCCTGTCAGGTTGTTGGAGCTTTTTGTTTGGCATTTTTTCTAGGTTTCTGGGAGGAAAGTAAATAATGTTAAGTACCCCAAGGAAGTTCTTAAGGTCTTTACAAGATCTCAGCCTTCCGGGCACCATTCCCGGTTTTGTGAAAGCTGCTTGGTAGTAATCCTGTTTTCATGTTTATACACTAACTTTTAGTCTTCCTGGAAAAAAAACATGGAGGTCTGCTTCTGCTCTCACATTGGGAAAGAGCAGCAGCAAAGTAAAAGGCAGCAGAAAATCAAGCCCAGAAAAGCTCTAGTGAGGCCAGCACCTGAACAGGGCTGTATGGACAGAAATCTCAAATGGCCAGCCACACTTGCTTTTATTGTCTGTCTATTTTTGCTCTCTTCTCAAACCCATTCTGGCTGAGACTCAGTAGAATTGCGGTAGCAACCAAACCAATGCAGAGTTCACTGCCCAAACGAGTGATTTCTTCTGACCTGTGTAGGTGGATCAGTTTATGTCAATGCCTAGATATGACTGTGTAAAACTCTTGTCGTTTGAGTTGTTGTCCATGGGCCAGGCAGGCATATTTCACTCCGTGTTCCTATATTCAGTTGCCTTCTAGGTCCTACCAGCTATGGAGGCAGGATCCTAAAGTGTTAAGGAGCATTACAGGGTTTACAGCTCCTGTGTGCCTTTTGGAGTTAGAAGCATGTTTTTGTAGGTAGGAAGGAGTAGAGAGAAGGCATCTGTCGTCAGAAGGCAGATCCCAGAGTATTGGAGGCCTTGGATGGTCACCCAGATCCCTCTGTTCCAAGAGCCCCTTCACTCAGGCCTGGATGGCAGAGTGACCCAGCCCTGCCCAACTGCACGGGATGGGGCATTCACTGATTGTCCTGCTGGACACAGTCACTGGCTCCATCCCAGCTCTTGTGTTTCCTCCCATTGTGCCGATATTATCAGCACAAAGTCACAACAATGGTGGGTTATCATGGTACAGCCTGTGTGCTGGAGAGAATAAGTGCGAATGATTAAGTGGCCACAGTGGATTTCCATACTATAAATATGCTGAGTGACTTAAAATCACCAGGGCTGAATCTGTTTGCTGTTCCTGCCTTCGCTTTGCTGCTGTTCTCTGCCTTTTTTTCCTGGAAATTACTTGTAGCTATATCCTCTCTTCATCTTACTCCTCCTCAGCGAAGGGGCTGTCCCTGCCGTGTGGAGCATGCCAAAGTTGACATATTTCCCCTGGATTTGCAGCAAGACTGCAAGGAAATAATGGCTGTTGTTTACAGCTGTCGCAGCCAAAATCTTGCTGTTCATCACACTGTAGCCACTGCCCTGCATCACTTACAGTCTCAAGGCACAGCAGAGAGGTAATGGAGCTTTCTGCTGGAGCACTGACTTCTTGTGATCACAGCAATTCAGGATCAGAGCCTGAGCTCCTCTGTGTTTCCCAGGCCCTCTGTCTCAGACAGCATCCACTACAGTTCTAAGTTTTATCCTTATTTCAGCTTTGAAGGGACTGCCCAAAATAGAGCTGCCAGGATTTAGCTCAAGGATCTTCTGAGCCATCTCTGAGTATGTAGGGCAAGATTTGCTCATGAATGAAAGCTCTGCTTTCAGGCTGGCATGAACCGTGATCAAAAACAGCAGATAATTATTGGGATGAAATCAAGCAAGGTCTACTGTAGATTTTTTTCTTTGAAGCAGTCCATGCCATAAGAGCTTTGCAGTGCTCCTAGCTAGCAAGGAGTCCTATTGTTGCTGGGTTATTGTTGGCCTGAACCCCAAACTGCCTCTTTCATAGAACAGAATCATAAAGTCAGTACGATTGTAAATGACTTCTATGATTATCTCATTCAACCATCAGTCCATCTCCACCATGCCCACTAACCATGTCCCTCAGTGCCACATCTACACATTTCTTGAACACCACCAGGGACGATGACTCTGCCACCTCCTTGGGCAGTCTGTTTCAGTGTCTCACCACTCTTTCTGAGAAGAAATTTTTCCTAATATCCAACATGAACCTTCCGTGACACAGCTTAAGACCTTTACCTCTTTTCCTCTCATTTCACTGAGTCAAGGAGAAATCACAGAAGAAAATTGCTGCTTTAACTCTGCAGATGTGATAGAGGTCCCTGAGCCATGCTCCTCCAGCAGCGGCAGAGGTTTCCTCTACATGGACCTGTTTACATTTGCAGATGCCACAATGTGTGATTCCTGGGCCCTGCTGCTCCATCTAGCAGGACCGTCTCCTAGCAGTATTGAGCTGATGAGTGTTGTAGTGGGTGACCAGCACCCACACAGCCCCCAGCACAGCCCGTGAGCTGCCTGCAGGATGTTGGATCGCATCCTGTGCTGAGCTGCACCAGCTGGGCTCCTGCATGCTGCACAGGATATCCTATATGTCTGGCAGAGCTGAGAGAAAGTAACTGTCTGAGGTTGCTGGCTGCTGCATGCTGACATCCTGGTGCGGTGAGTCAGCCCAGGCTCTGGCATGGAGCAAATGTGGGGGACTATCCCTCCCTGCTCAGGGGACAGCTTGCTGTGGATGAAATGCCAGCAAACTGAAGCCAACAGGATGTAACGTGAAGGGATTGCCATATTTAGATGTGGTTTTGTTGGAGGAGACTCATAAAATAAGAAAGAGAAGAGATGCTTGGGTTCTCCTGCCTTGCTTCTGCTTGGTCACCCTTTTCTCTCACAGATAACAGAACCAAGCCTCAGCTCCTTCTGCTCTTTAACATGCCATCTATCCTCCTCGTTTGTTTTCATCATTTGCATTTACCCTTTTCCAAACTGATGCCACCCTGCTGCAATAGGTGGAGGGCTTAGAGACAGTGAGTCAGTGGTAGGGCTTTAACCTCCAAAACTCTGCCTCATGTTGCTGGTCTCCTTGCATTTGATAAGGTTTAAAGCAAAGCTTGACTTGGAGCAGACACCTGTTAACTCTGCAAACCTCAATAAGCAGAGCTGACCTTAGTCAGACCCACTGGGTATGTGAGTTGGTGCATGTCCCTGTCCATGGCACCATGAATCTCCCAGTACCAGCCCACTGGCACTGGGGAAGAAACTGAGCAGTGCATTCTGCTGGAGGAGTGAGTTGAGAAGAGCAGACCATGTTCTCCCCGTTTCATAGCTTTTGTTCTTCTGAATATTGGTGGAAGAAGTCACCCAGAGAGGCCAAGTGGCTGTCAGAAGTTGTATAGCATATCCACAAATCAACAGGATTTTATGAATGCTCAAGTCACCGAGACCTAGCTTCCACCCTGTGTGCAGGAAGCAGGAGCTATGCAAACAGGCCCCAGTTGAACAGATTTCTGGTGGCTGTCAAAGAGACAGGCCTCTGCTTCCCACCCCTTGTGTTTTCACAACCTTTTCTCCTTTAGGAACATCAGATGAGTCTGCAGAATGATATTAAAATGCAGAATTCAGTAAATCTTTATACAGCAGTGGAAAGGAAGCTAAACAAGAATACACACAAAAAGGTTCAAAAGTTATACAGAGGAATTACATATTTCAGCAATATTTCTGTGGTTTACTGCATTAGGAGCTAGTCCTAATTGTGGGAGCTAAACTACCTGTGAACCCCCCACCCCCCAGTCAACCATTTCTGTTGCATCAGGACTGTTCTTTTTCAGGCTGATTTTTCCCCATTGATGGTGCCTTTGGGAGGCACTGGGCAGCTGTGACTCAGTGAGCATAATATTTAATAAGGCTGAAGTAAGGTAGTATCTGCTTGGTTGGTTTGGTTTGTTCTGGTCTTTAATTATTTCTTTGATTGTTTTTATGGTCTTCTGATTTGTTCTGACATTTTGGGGTCAGTTACCACAGGGTTTAGAAGTGGGTCTGTGGTCACAGCCTTGCTTGAGGCTGGATTAATACATTTTTATAAATGAAGAGCTTCTATTGGGAGCTGTAAGCACCCTAGCAATAGAAAGAGCACTATTCTGTGTGTCTTTACACACATCTCATCTGGCTTGATTCTCTTGACTGATAAAGCTGGTGCTTGGTTTTTGCCTGTGAGAATAAACAGAGTATCTAACCATAAAAATCTGGTAATACAACCCAAAACACTTCACTTTGCTCAGACAGAAATCCCAGCCCAAGCCTTCTCTTCAAGAAGTTCTGTGGCAAGATGGGAGTTGGCCTCTTCTCCCAGGTAACAGTATTAGGACAAGAGGCCTTAAATTGCACCAGGGAAGGTTCAGGTTGGATATTAGGAAGAAAATTGTTCTCAGAAGGAATGGTGAGGCATTGGCACAGGCTGCCGGGGGGATGGTGCAGTCACTGTCCCTGGAGGTGTTCAAGAAACATGTAGATGTGGCACTGAGGAACGTGGTTAGTGGGCATGGTGGGGATGGCTTGATGGTTGGACTACACGATCTTAGTGGTCATTTCCAACCTTAAGATTCCATGATTCTGTGACTTCCAGATCTCCCCAAAACCCTTTGCGTTCAGGGAACAGTGGGAAAGGTGGCCAGATGTGCATTTAGTTGGCATTGCCACTGACCACATCAGGGTTGAGGCTGCATGGTTCTCAGGCAGGGTCAGCACAGCTGGGGCAAATGCCTTGAACTGTCTGTGCTTGATTTGGGTCTGTACCAGCTCAGCCAGAAGCTGTTCATTTTCTTCTTGTCAGCACTCCCCAAATCAGGCATCTGGGCAGCACTTAGACTATTCATATGTTTTTAAATGTTTCAGCATCTTTGTAGCTACTCTGGCAACCAGCAGTGCAAAAATGAACAGCTTTTAAAAATAAATCAGAGCCTGGTGTGGAGGTAGGGAGCACAGAGAGGAAGGAAAAGGGAAGAGCAGTTGAAAGAAAAACATAGATCATTAAAGTTGTCCTAAAAGGGGAAAAAAAATTTTTAAAAAAAAGGGGTTGAAACATCTGCTGGAATCATAGCAACTTTTTTTTTACCAGGACTCAGCAGATTGTTGGCAATTAAGTGAAGAAATAAAGCAGTTCAGCTTTGCTAGAACTGCTCACCAGGGTTGCTATTAAGAATTACTAAATGCTAGAGAGGGCTTCCCCTGCCAGTGTAAATACAGGGCTCCTCTAGAAGATCCTGTGAAGTTCTTGCAGTGCAGATGTATTCACAGAATTTAGTTTTATTGCTCTGTGAGTGCAAACAAACCCATATGAAATGAGAGTGACTAGAGCAACTAAACAGACACACTGCTGTGAAATTGTTCTTCACTGCCTGATGATGCTCAACCTGGCTAACCCTCAGTGACCCTTCCTTCACCTTTCCTGATCCAGGACAGCCCAAAAATGTTGTAACAAATGAAAGGTGGCACTTTGCAGAATGAGTGCCAGCTGTCATCCTATATGGAGACTGTAGAAAATAGTGGTGAAAAAGATCTGTGAGATTTTCTGCTCCCATGGGGCAATTGTAGAGCTATTTCATGGCAGGGCTGCCTTGAACCTCTTTTAGTTTTTCTTTAACAGTCTGCTGGAATATTAGCAATGAAAGATGAAGGTGAAAGCACAAATTTCAATCTGGTTTGCTGCCAGAACAAAGAGTTGTTCCCAGTTTCCTTCCAGAGCTCTGTGAAATGGCAGCAACATTTACAACTGGCTTTTGCTGAACACCTTCACTGTACACTCAGAGGCTAAGCTGCAAATGTGTCTAGAAGCAACTCCTCACTCCCATCCTACATATACACAGAAACCTTGATGTAGCATCCTTTTGTATTTCACTCATGCTTTTTTTGTGCTGTTGCTCAATAGATGTGGGGACAGTCTCAGAATCACCCTTGGACACTACTGACATGAAGGGAATGCTGAGGACCTGAAGGAACCCTCTTGAAGTCATTGCTGTGTCACATTTTCTCTGCAGGCTCAAACCTATCTCCACAAAAAGTCCCTGCAGAGCTGGTCACAATCCAGCTGTCTAAACATAGTTGGCTTGCATACCTGTGTTTAGATGAGAGTATCCAACTGCCAATTCTGTGTTTATATCTCACAGAATGTTGTGTCATACCCACCACCCCAATGGAAGGCACTCAGATACCTTAGATAACCTAGATGCATCTGTTGAGGCAACAGGAACCTCAAAACCACAGCAGCCCTGTCAATTCAGACCAGTTGTAGCTGAACATATTGCAGTGGCATGAGTGTAGAAAAGCGTGTAGAGATGGTATTTTCCCCTTCCTGAGATTGCTTTCCATCTCACAGTATGGCCATAACGTTCATATTGTTAGTCTGTGACATAAGGGTGCACTCAGCTTATGCAGGCAAATTCATGAGTTCATCATAAACTCATGCCCAAGCCCAGATATATTGAAGAGAGTAAATGCTGAGCACATCCTAAAAGGTCAGCCACTCAACTTGGGAACTTACAACTATATACAAACAAAGTTACTTCTTTTTTGTGATGCAAGAAGCTGGATAGGAGCTGGTGCATCATCCCAAACAAAAGATGAAAAATCAGGAATCCCATTAATAAGTTTCCCTAAAGAGCTGAAATTAGAAATTGTGTTATGACCTCTAATTAGGAGTCTGACTTAATTCTGGATTTGTACCAAGAGATACATATGGACGTTGGTGGAAGTTGCTGGGTAATTGTCACATGAAAAGTCAAGCCATTTGGACACCCAGTTCAAATATTTTGACCTACCTCTTCCCCAGTAGCAGCTACTATCCTGAAAAGACCTGTGGGTGGTTGTTTGGTTTTGTTTTACAGCTTAGTGTGCTTTTTACAGGAATCTGGCTAAGTAATTTTATTCCATTACTCTGTTGGTTGTTGTTTTTTTTTTTTGTAAAGCAGACTCTTTAAGTGGATTGAATTAAATGTTTACTACTAGAGTAATTACAGCCCTTAAAGAAGCCATCTGCATTGTAAAGTGGTTTCTCCTAGGCTTACTTTCCCTAAAATGCTTCTCCAGGGCTTTGTGAAGTGTGCTGTTATTTGCTGTTGGGAACTTTCATGGGAATGATTTTTTAGGATCTCTACAGGAATCATTTTGCTGCTTCTATTTTTCTGGATAATGAATGTCTTTGTGTATTCTTCTGTCCAGTCTCACTCTGTTAGTTTAAGCATTAAGAATTAGCTGTAAACAAACATGACTGTATAACACCTGCTTCATATTGTAGCCTGATTTCTTTTTGGACAGACCACATCCAGGCTCTGGTACAATTACAGGCATCCCAGATGTGTGTTCTGCTGTCAGCTGCTATAGTGAAGTCATTGTTTATTGACAGGTTCCCAAGAGTCAGATAGTTCTCAATCTGCCAAGAAAGACATGCTGGCTGCACTGAAATCCAGGCAAGAAGCCTTGGAAGAGACGCTGCGCCAACGCTTGGAAGAGCTGAAGAAACTGTGTCTCCGAGAAGCGGTAGGCAGTGGATCTTTTATAGCTCTTACCACTTGTTGCTTGTGCATTCTTATAGCATGCTTTTTGTTTAGAGGTGGCAGTCATCAGAAGTATGACCACCAGGACTTTACCATCCTAAGCTAGCACTGCTTAGGTCTAATGCGTAGAGGAGAAGGTTTGCTTGTGCCACAGTTACAGGAGTTCACAGCCCAGTGCCTTCGCTTTAACTCCAGCCCCGCTGTCAGTGCAGCCACAAATGCTGTGCAATACAGCCATGCCTCACCAGGGCACAGTGTTAGCAGAAAGGAGCTATTTCCTCACTGTGCTGCAATAGGGTTGGCCTGAGCCCATCTGTCAGCACCTTAAGAGCTGTTAAGAAGTGTTATTTCTTTCTCTGGATGATTTGACTGAGGCAGTTGATGGACACTTGGGGTTTGACCCAGTCTTGCAACCCTACAGCTCATCCATCAGCAGCCTGCAGCTGGAAGCATTTCCTCTCAGGCTGCATTTAGTCCTGTCTGCTTTGCTGTGGGAATGGCCCAAACACAGGGAGAGGAAGGTGAACCAAGGGGGAAAAAAGGGTTAAAAGTGGGGGCATAATCAAATAAGCATGGGCCAGAGCCATTCACAGCAGTGGCATCAGGTTACCTCAGGCCATCACCACTCCAGTTACTCATTAATTCAGATTACATTTCAGGCCTGTGCCTGTGAATACTTTTCAGCTTATGAAGGCTACGTGGTAGCCCACGTTCATTTTGTTCTGCTCCAGTTTTGTTGCTTTTACAGAAGACATTAACTCTTTCCCTTCTGCCCTGCTTTGTATTATGTTCAGGGTTATATAGAAGATATCTTCAGGAACAGATACATGAATCTGTGTCTGGATGCAGTGCAGTAGAGCCCTATCAAAGCAGAATTCTTTCAGCAGAAGAAAAGCTGAAAGAACCCCACAGGGCTGGAAGGGCAACCCAGAATGGGACACATGAGATGTTTCAGCAGTGCCTCTCGCAAAAGGGGCTGTGCACATCAGCACAGAGCTGGAAAGTGCTTAGAGGAAGGATCTGAAAAGGCCAGACCCTTGTTTCCTAGTGACCTGAAAATAGTAGAAAGAAAAACCCCATTAGGGAGTGGGGGAGAGGCCAGGGCAGGCAGGGGCTGAGCTGTGCGCTCACATTGAGGTCAGTTGCTGTTCTTTGGGATTCAGATGATTTAGGTTACTCTGCCAGCTGGATCCTCTCAAGGCTGATGCTAAAGAACACAAAAGCCTTTTGTCCTTCATGGGGAGACTTTTGAGTACAAGGAGTTGGGCTGTTCTCAGAGTGTCTTTTTCTGTAGGCATTTGAATGCCTTTAATTCAGAAATGTGAGGCTGTATTCTGTACTCCAAAAAAAAAAAAAAACAACGCAACAACAAACATTGCCTTCAGTGTTGGCACTCGCTGCTTCCTGTGTTCCAGGTATTTCTCAGTTCTGGGGGATTTGCTTCAGATTTTGAACAAATCTTTACAAATAACCCCATCAATCTGACAAAGCATCATCTAATATCTCTCCAAAGCTGCCCATGACATCACCTGGCCTTGGAAGGGCCTCTGATACATGAAGTGTTATCAGACAGGTAATGAGGTACCAGGCACTGCTTTTAGTGACTATTTGCACTGCATTCCTCTCAGACACATCATGAATCAGGTGGGAACATTTTTTGTGCAGGTCATAACCTGCATGGCTGTTGCCACTGGGACTTTCTAGCACAGTGAAGACTTCAGGTGTGTCATCTCCTTGCAGAAGTGGCCAAAAGAGAGAAGCTTTTCTTTTCCTGCACAGTCTGTAGCAGAGATGAAAGCGTGTGTGCTGTAATCCGTTCACCCCAGACCCCAACGCCCAAGGGATGGGCACCACCTACAAACCTGTGCTGGGCAGGCCACAGAATCTCTATTCATGCCCAGGTTAAAAAAACTTCCCCACCCTCAGCAACAGAGCCTGGACCACATTCTCAGGGCTGGATGTTCTGTGTGTTTATCAGCCTGAGCTAAAAGTGGTGTTAATGACCACCTGTCATTTCAAAGTCACAATTCAAGAGCAGCGGTGTGCTTTGCACATGCCACTCTGCTGCAGCATTTCCCAGGTTGCTAACAGTGTTTTCTGCTTGTAGGAGCTCACAGGAAAGCTGCCACGAGAATATCCCCTCGATCCTGGGGAGGAGCCACCCATTGTAAGGAGAAGAATAGGAACTGCCTTTAAACTGGATGAGCAGAAAATCCTGCCTAAGGGAGAGGTGAGATTTGACTTCCCTTCCAGCTGTGCGTTCCCACTTCTGGTTGCTACCACATCTGGTGTGCATGGCATAGAAGCCACAATCTTCCTGTTTTAAATGACTGTAGTTGGTCACAGTGCCTTTTTTATGAGCCAGCACTGTGTCCAGGTGGCCAAGAGGGCCAATGGCATCATGGCTTATATACTGCTGTAGTTGCTGTCAGTGCGAGGAGCAGGAAAGTGATCATCCCTCTGTACACAGCTCTGGTGAGGCCGCAGCTTGAGTACTGTGTTCAGTTTTGGGCTCCTTTCTACGAGAAAGATATTGAGGCCTTGGAGCATGTTCAGAGAAAGGCAACAGAGCTGTGAAGGATCTGGAGCACAAGTCTTATGGGGAGTGGCTGAGGGAACTGGGATTGTTCATCTGGAGAAGAGGAAGCTCAGGGGAGACCTTATCACTCTCTACAACTGCCTGAAGGAGGTTGTGATGAGGTGTGAGTTGGCCTCTGCTTCCAGGTAACAGTGGCAGGGCAAGAGGGAATGGCCTTAAGTTGCACCATGGGAAATTCAGGTTGGACATTAGGAAGAACTTCTCTGAAAAAGTGGTCAAGTGCTGGAAAGGGCTGCCCAGGGAGGTGGTACAGTCACTGTCCCTGGGGGTGTTCAGGAAACAGGAAGGTGTTCCAGAAGTAGATCTGGAACTGAGGGACACAGCTTATTAGGAAATATTGGTGAGAGGAAGATGGATTATTGCACTGGATGATCTTGGAGGTCTTTTCCAACCTTGGTGACTAAGATTATTTTTTTCCCTTCAGAAAAGGGAAGCAGAAAGGGGGTTGTTTGTCTTGGTCCCTCAGGGCTCAGCCTTGGCTGTGCTAGAAGCAGCAGGAATAGCCAGGGTGACCAACTGGACTGTGACAGCCCAGGTGACCAACTGTAGTGACCTGTGTGAACAGGGAGCACATGAAGAGCCCCCTGAGTCATCTGAGCCCTGCTGCTACCTTGTGTTGTTACCACAAACAGCAACTTGCTTTCTGCTTCAGCAGTGATCTGAACTCAGATCTCCCCTAGCAGGAGAGAAAAGCATCACAATTACTCATCTTAGCCCTGCAATAGCAAGATAAAAGCATTTACCTCCCCAGTCCTTAAACAAAAGAGGCTCCGTCCCTACATATAGGGAGCTGGATTTATGTTTTTTCTGAGTTTACTAGGGAGTGTTTGTTCTTTTTCCTTGCTCCCACAATGTGCTGGGTCAGTGCCCTGAACCGTGGCTGTGAAAACAGGCCTGCAGCAGCTGTAAGGCGGGCCCAGATTCACAGAAGAGCCATTGTCTGCAGGGACACATTTGTCTCAAGACACTTGTGTATATCCCAGTTTTGAGTTTCTTTTTCATTTTTGTAAGAGGAGAGTCTGAAGCTGGTGTGACTGTGTGGTTTAAGGCGCAGTTCAGCCAGGGAATTAACTGTCGTTTTGTTGGCATTTTTCTTCTGCTGAAAAAAATAAACAGCTGGAGCTCTGTAGTTTTGTTCTCAATGAAGCCTGGGAGAGGAATTCCACCAAAGTCAAATATTCATGAACTAGCACATTTAATTAAGCTTTTCAAAGGGAAGCACAGTTTAACTCAGTTACTCCTAGAAGCCCTGCAGTCTGTTGGCTGCTGTGTTATAACCTGATCCCTAGTTTCCCCAGTTCATTTCTGTTAAGCAGTTTTTGGGGGCACTCTGTGAGGAATCTCTACTGTGCAAAGCTAGGCTGAGCAGTGGGAAAAGCATGAAGGTAAAGCAGTTCCACCCCACTGCAGACACTCTGCTTTTTGGCACCAGCAATCCAAACATGCCGAGTCAGCTTTTCTCTACCCCCTTTTTCATCTGTCAAACTTCAGGACTGTATTGAAAACCATAAATTTCTGTTCTCAAAGAATAATGTTGGGCTGTGTTTACTTGGCTGCCAGTTTGAGAAAGTTCAGAGAGGCCAGTGTTGATTTTCACTTTTCAGCAAGTGCAAGCTCTAGAAACTCAATTTAAAACAAAGGTGAAATTCTCTTCCAGTCCCATAAATCCAGGACTGAAATTACTAACTGTGACAACGACCTGAAGCAAGGCACTTCCCTCTGAAAACAGGTGATAGCCCTCATTTTCTGAGGCTTTATTCGTAGGGGCCTCACTGGATGAAAAATAGGTGGTTAGGGCTGGGAAGAAAATTAAGATGTTTTTCTCTTAGATACATTGAGTGATTTAGAACTGAATCTGTGAAGGCTTGAAATGACAGCTTGCACCAAACTCCCAATAACTTTAAAATAAGACCTTTACCAGAACACAAACTGCAGAGTAGGTTTCTACTGTAGTTCTTAGTGATCACCTCTAAGTGGTCCGGAGTTCCCGACTCTGGGAAGGATTTTAAAGAAGGCAGTGAGCCAGCTTCCAGGCCTTAAAACTCTATTGTGTCAAATCCACATTTAGTAGGCTTGGTGCTGATAAATTTATAAACTCTGCAGTGCAAAAAAAAAGGTTCTGTTAAAAAGATGGAGGGGTTGAGTCAGTCTTCAGAAACGATAACTGTCATTTCAAGGCAATGCTGACTCACCACTGACAGCAGAGGACTTTTTTCAAGCCAAAAGCCCAAAATAAAACCTTGAGAGAACAATTCCAGTTTGATTAATCCCTCCGGCATCCATACTTGCAGCATACACCACTACTAAATGAAGAGAAAGGATTTGAATTTGTGTAATGGGGATCTCCACGGCTACGTGTCTGTCAGTGTGATCTGAACACCCACAGTTCACTGGAAGTAGAAGAGCTTGGCTTTTCTCCCCCGTTATGCAGTGTATGGTGTTCCCCTTTTTATCAGCAAACTAACACCAAAAACTGATGATGATGAACACCAAAATCTCCAAGGTAGCCAAATTCACTACACAAAACAAATGTCTTTGAAAATTATAGTCCCAGTGCAGACCAAGCTATATCAGCTTCTGTGTTTGCATAAACTGACCCAGATCCCTTGATTTGGGAGCATAACTAAGAATCAGCAGCTAGCTTCCAGGGTACATTTAAAAGTTCAACAGCTAATGTTGGATACACAAGCCCTTTTTGGCATACACAAAATGTGCTTACACTCTGATTGCTCTGAAGTCACCCTCCTGGCTTGTAACTTCAGGAGACAATTTTCTAGTGTAATGTGTTGCAGCAGCCCATAATTAGCTCAGCTCCTACTCTCCTGGATTTTGACAATCATGCACCAGGGAGGAATTAGCCCATCTTCACCTTTTCTTACCCAAAGAAGTCATTGAGTGTCAAGTTTGTCAAGAAGGTTAAAACTGTAGTCTTGCATCATATATAGCACTGCTATCAAACAAGGCTCAAATGTGGAGCTAGGGAATAGGGAGAGGGAATGAGTAGGAGGTGAATGTAAAAGGTTGAATGAGTCACTGGTAGAGCACTACTGAAGTGGGCCAACTGTATGAAAAGGTAAACAGCATGGCAGGACGGCTGAAGCTCTCACATCCTCTGTGTGTGGGTTGTGCCTTCCATCAGCTGTGCTGCCAGGCACTCATGTGGGCAGAGGGAATGAGGTGGGTCTGCTTAGGGAGGCCCTAGGATGAGGGGAGCAGCATAGAATCACAGAACCATAGAATCGTTTGAAATGGAAGGGACCTTAAAAGATCATCTAGTCCATCTCTCCTGCAGTGAACAGGGACACTTACAGCTAGATCAGGTTGCTCAGAGCCCCATTCAGCTTGACCTTGGATGTCTCCAGGATCTGGGCATCCTCCACCTCCTTGGGCAGCCTGTTGGTTGATGATTTCCTGATGGCCTTCGCTGGAGGTCCCTGGACTCAGGGGGAGCTCCCCTATAGCTGAGCCAGAAGTTTGGTGGCAGCCAGAATCTGCTTGCCTTTTCCCAGGAGGCAGAGCTGGAACGCCTGGAGAGGGAGTTTGCCATTCAGTCCCAGATAACAGAGGCTGCCCGGCGCCTGGCGAGTGACCCGAACGTCAGCAAAAAACTGAAGAAACAGAGGAAGACTTCCTACCTGAATGCACTGAAGAAACTACAGGAGATTGAAAACGCCATTAATGAGTATCGCATCAAATCTGGAAAGAAGCCAACCCAGAGAGCTTCCTTGATCATAGATGGTAAGTGGGGCTCAGCACCCACAGCACTCCAAAAAGGGTACATGGAGGACAGCAAGCAATAATTTTTGCCTTGTTCTCATATTTGACATATGAGTTTCTGCTCCCCCTCTTGTCTCCTGTCTAGAGGGCCCTGGGGGTGCTGAAGTTGGGTTATACTCTCCACGCTAGCATGCTGTCAGATGGGCATCTGGGATCTGTGCTGTGCTTTAGGGATGTGCTGGTTCACAAGATAAGACACAGGATCATGCTGTAGATTATAAGGATATCAGGAAAGCAGACTGTGACTCCTTTGTTCACCTATAAAATCGCTCTGTTAGCATCTCTGGAGTAATTCTGTACAAATGTAATTAATGTTAGCAGATTGGGGTGAGCTCTCTAGCTGAAAGGCATCTGTAAAATCTGACTGGTGGCAGTGTCATTGCTGTGTTCAAATGCTTTTTTTATATTTTTACAGTGTAATTCTCAGGGTGCTTTATGGTTTACTGAGTTGTCGATTGGTTTTTCGTGAAATCCATTAACTTTCTGTTGTGGTTCTTTCTCCCTTGCTGAATTTGCCCTTTCTGTTTAACTTACAGAGCTTTCTCTGTGCCTTTGTAGCAGGAACTGAGATTAGAGCTGCTGTATTTGTGACCTGGGTACCAAGTCATGCTGCAGTCAGGGACAGAGAGCTGTGAGGACACAGATGGGGGAGGCAGCTCATACATGCATGCCTGGAACATGAGAGCTTCTGCATCTGCTGTTGCAGAGGATACTCAGAAAGTATTTCCCCAAATTACACAGAACTGGTACCTAGTGTGGGCCTTAAGGCCCAAGATCTTCAGCAGACAAAGTCTGCCTGCTGGCAGGTTGCCATTTCACATCCGCTGGGGATCTCAGCTCACTGTTGTGACTCAGCCTTAATCCCCATTAATTGAAAAGGAGTTAGCAGCTCCTTGAAAGGCAGCCTGCTAGCAAGAGGCCTGGCCTGCAGCTCTGCCCTCAGACTGAGTGGGCTGAGGCAGTTATTTATAGGAATATCGTTGTCTCATGGCTTTGAGAAGAGGAAGGTGTGGGTGACTGCTTAAGGCCAAGAGTTGGTTGAAGAAGATCACGGCACAGTTCACTATTTGGTCAGTGTGATTCTCCTGACACTCTGACAATCTTTTTCTTCTCCTCAGAAGGAAACATTGCCAGTGAAGACAGTTCCCTCTCGGATGCCCTTGTTCTTGAGGATGGTATGTTGGCTGCTGTATATTCCAGAGGGCAGGAAGGAAATGGGGAGGGATGTGTGAATTCCTGATTGATGCTCAAAATGGGGGGCCTTTTCTTTGTAATGATCCATTCAAACTTACTAGTACCAAAAACGTTCTTGCCTACGAGCAAGGCGTGATGCTGTCCCCTTAAATAGGGCTAGCACTGAAGGTCACATAGCCATCACCTCTTTCCCTTCTTCTCTTGACAGAGGATTCTCAGGTCACCAGCACAATATCCCCTCTCCACTCCCCACACAAAGGACTCCCACCCCGGCCACCCTTGCACAACAGGCCTCCGCCTCCACAGTCACTGGAAGGCCTCCGCCAAATGCATTACCACCGTAACGACTATGACAAGTCCCCCATCAAACCCAAGATGTGGAGCGAGTCATCCTTGGATGAACCCTATGAGAAGGTCAAGAAACGCTCCTCACACAGTCATTCCAGGTGAGCCAGCAATCTCCAGTCCTTATCACACAGACATCCTCCCAGACGGAATGTCTGTGAATCCTTACAAAACCATCTCTTACCAAAAGGAGACATTCAGGCTTTGGGGGTAATATAGATGTGATAAAAAGCAGGCTGTGTTCACGTGGCATGACTCAGAGCAGCATCTGACCCCACTCCCACTTACTCTGTAAGATCACAGGCACATGCCTGAGACCTGGAATAAGGCAGGGAGCCCCTTCCCCAAATTCTTTCCCAGGAACTGAAGCCAAGTGTTTGCTTTACAGCAATCACAAGAGGTTCCCCAGCACCGGGAGCTGCGCTGAGGCAGGAGGGAGCAGCTCCCTACAGAACAGCCCCATCAGGAGCCTTCCCCACTGGAACTCCCAGTCCAGCATGCCCTCGACGCCGGATCTACGGGTACGCAGTCCACACTACGTCCACTCCACACGGTAAGTTCTCCCAGCTCCACAACAGGCTCACTTTGCTTGTCCTAAAATAACTGCTTTGCTTTATCCATCCCTCAGGATATTCATTAATTGCCCATTCAGGAAAGGACACAAAGCAGGCCTATTCATACCAAATGCTTGAGTCCTGTTGCTATCAGAGAATCTCTCCTGAACTGAGATACTGAAATCGCTTCAGTTAAACATGATCCTGCCCCTTATCTCCCCCCTCAAAGTAATGAAGCTCTTCTTCTACTGGAACTCCTTGTCCCACTTACTGTTTATAGGCCCTATAAACCACACACAACTTTTAGAAGAGATGTGATGATAGTGCTAAACTGCAGTAAAGTCCTTTCTGGCTCCAACTGGAGATAACATACTGCTTCATTTTTTATACAAAATGTTAGGTAGAAGTACTCTCTCATGGTGGCATATAAAATGTTTATATGTGTGTGCTCTCAAGCAGAGAGAGGCTGCACAAAGCAGTCTACCCAAGAATCCAGGTGACAGTGACATAATCCCAGGGTTGACAGGAAAGACTTCAAATCTTAGTGGTGATTTGATGTTCATGGCCTAATTTAATCCCAGTTTTTACCAGGAACTGTTCAGCTTCATTATTACTTTGCCCCTGTAGTAAATTTCATGGACAGTGAGAGAAGCAGAGATGAGCCAAAGCTGTGCGCTGTTAGGTGTCCTGCTCACAGTGGTAGTGCTAGCATCATTTAGTATAGCATAAATCAAGAGCAGTGCCAGCACATCAGACTCAGACAGAAATGATGTGAGGTATCAAGGCCCTGTGTTACACTAGTTACAAATTTGAGGCTGAAAGAGACTTCTAAGAGCACAGTGTTAAGTCTGGAGCTAAGCTGCATGAGAAACAAGCCTGGCATGGTGCTTGAGAAGTCCTTGACCAGGTAGGAGCTATTTGGGTGTGTGCAACAACCACTGCTAAGTCTGCTGCATGCTCCAGCCTTGGCCATCTGTCATTCGGGTGTGTAACTCCTCACAGGGCAGTGTTCCTGCTACTTGAACGGATGGCTGAAGCTCTCCCAGCAACTGGGATGAACGGAGACCACCCAGGCTTGGCCATGAATCAAGCCTTGTAAATTTGTGATTCCAGGTGGATGCCTCAAAGGCAGTCACCCACTGACTGTATTATACATGTAACCCATGGCTGGGCCCCAGTAAAACATAGCTGCTTCACAAAGGTGACTTTTTCAAAGGGTAGAGTCACTGTATTTGGGCTAAATATGGGCAATCTGTCCTTTTATCTCTGTCACTAATTTGAGAAAAGATACAAATCGAATTGTACCTGTGCAGGGGATTCACATGCCACTTGAAAGGGAGTCCCACCATTGAGGTGATGGGATTTGCAGAGCTACAGGAAAGTGAACCTGGTGGTACCAGGATGGTGCTGGTCCAAATAGCTCTGCCATGGCTCTGCCATGAGCTCACCAGTTTTTGTCCTTCATGCTGGATCTTTCCCATCCTGGCAAGCCACAGAAGAATTGAGCTTGTAGATTGAATATTATCAGCAAGGAGAATGGATAGGAGCCAGACTTGGACCCAACAGCAGGGAAACAGGTTTCTCTGCAGCCAGCAGCCCCATGCAGTACTGGAGGAGATGCCCCCAAATTCCCTTTCCAGTGAGACCGAACTTGTGTGCAGAAAAGAAGTGTGTTGTCCTTGTGACTTACCAACTTGAATGTTTTCCTGGTACCTGCAGGTCAGTAGACATCAGCCCGACCAGACTGCACAGCTTAGCTCAGCACTTTAGACACCGGAGCTCCAGTTTGGAGTCACAAGGCAAGCTCCTCGGCTCAGAAAATGAGACAGGGAGCCCTGATTTCTACACCCCAAGGACTCGTAGCAGTAACGGCTCTGACCCTATGGATGACTGCTCATCCTGCACCAGCCATTCCAGCTCTGAGCATTACTACCCTGCTCAGATGAACCCCAACTATTCCACCCTGGCAGAGGACTCCCCATCGAAAGCCAGAGAACGACAGAGGCAAAGGCACAAATCAGCAGGCAACCTGGTCTCTTCCAATTCAGGGAGCATGCCCAACCTGGCTGCGAGGAATGGAACTGGGCACCACCGGGTCTACCTGCACAGCCAGAGCCAACCCTCTTCCCAATACAGGATCAAAGAGTATCCCCTGTACATCGAGGGCAGCTCCACACCCGTGGTGGTGCGCAGCCTGGAGAACGACCAGGAGGGACACTACAGTGTGAAAGCACAATTCAAAACCTCCAACTCCTACACAGCGGGGGGGATGTTTAAGGAGAACTGGCATGGGGACGAAGCGGATTCCGTTCGGCTCACCCCCTCCCGCTCCCAAATCATAAGGACTCCATCTCTGGGCAGGGAGGGCCACGAGAAGGGCTCGGGTAGGACTGCCGTGTCAGATGAGCTGCGGCTCTGGTACCAGCGGTCCACAGCCTCCCACAAGGAGCACAGCCGCCTCTCGCACACGAGCTCCACTTCCTCGGACAGCAGCTCCCAGTACAGCACATCTTCTCAAAGCACCTTTGTGGCGCACAGCAGGGTCACGAGAATGCCTCAGATGTGTAAAGCAACATCAGGTGAGAACCCGTCCTGGGTGAGGGGGCCAGGGGTTTCGTGCAGCCCATTTTCATGCCAGGCCTGGAAGTCAGGGAAGAACCTAAAGCCATGCCTTTACTGAGTCTTTCCTCAGTGTGTGGTGGGTTTTTGGTTGAACTCAGAGAAACCACAGTGTAATCACTTTTAGTAAGCACAGCAAGGGGATCGATGGACCACACAGGGCCTTGGTGCCATCCAGGAGAACTGTGTGCCTTTGATGAAACATTAAAGGCATGAGGAAGGTGAAGAGTTAAGTGGGGACAGTGTCCCAGCCCTGCAAAAATGTTTGCATGATGACATCTCTTTGCACTGCTGGTACGTGGCTTTCCCATGCAATTCCAGTAACTGTGCTGATAATATTCTGAAATTCGGTGCTTGAATTTGTGCAGTAATATATCTGTCATGTACATCTCTGTGCTGTTAATATTCAACAGTAAGAAAACAGCCAAATAAATTAACCTGAACAGTTACAAAACAGACCAAGGTGAAATAGTTACTGGCCATCAGTCACCATCGGACAGTCCAATCTGTAGGTATCAAGGGCATGCTAAAAACCTGAACCCAGCCCAGTGGAGATGAGTGAGCTGGTTAATAAGAATCCGTGCCATTTTTCCCTTCCTTTCCTTATGCTTTAAGCCACTGCCCAAGTACCTCATAGCCTTGAGTGCACCAGTGCTCACAGCTGCCTGATAAGAGAGTGATTTATGTGTTATGCCAGTGCTTGTAGAAGGCCTAGATGTGCACCAAGACACAATCAGGCAACTGCTGGAACCATTCTGTGTCTCAATATGAGAAATAGTCTTCCCCTCCTTTAATTAATAAGTCTTTCTATTCCTGTCAGCAACAGAAAATACATGAATGCTCAGGCTTTGTTTTGCTTTGGTTTGAGAAGCATACTAATTCAGTTTGGAAATCTAGAAAGGATAGTGAGGGAGTTCAGGGAGGCAAGACGCTGCCATTCAGTCTGTTCTCACACCCAGGGAGGTCTTCGAATCTAAATGGGATGTCTGGGCAGCACCCATGGCTTGCTGTGACCATCCAGCTGTACAGGCTGGCTTTGCATTCCCAGTCAGTTCCAATTAAAACTATGGGAGGATACTGACCTAGGGGACTGTCAGCTGCAGGGAGCAGATTAAAATTTGTTTTTATCTTCAAGTGCCATTTGGCAGCAGCTAAAAAAATGAACAGCATAGAAGGGGATGCCAGGTAGAAACATCTGTCATTTAGCTAATTGGCTGTAGTCTACATAACTACTGGACTTCGTGCTGTCCTTTAAAGAAGATTGTACTTCTGGGCAGGTATTAAATTTGGAGAGTGAATAATGCATGGACTTGAGGAGAAGGAAAGATGGGTGAGTTGGATATCTTTGCCAGGCCCTCAGTGAGGAACCTGCCTGAGAACCACTGTCAGTGTTAGATTTTAGTCTATCTTGCTTCTTGCTTCGTTAAAGTCAGATAAGCCTTCCTTTGGGCCCATAGCACTAGGGTCAACAAAGCCAAACTTCACCTTATTACAACTACACAGTGAGGTAGTGTCAGCTTTTGTAATCTTAAGAGCTGTCTTCCTCCTTCGCACATGAAGCAGTGTACCTGTTCAGGATCTTGCCTGTACCAGCCCTCCCTCCTCAGGAAATGGAGCATCTCCTGTGTTCTCACACCCTTGGCAGCAGGACATGGCCTGAGGTCATGAAGATACACAGCCATGTTCTACTATCCAGATAGGGGCGACAGGAACAAAATCAGTCAACTCTCATGCTGGGAGAGATGCTGTATCTCCCAGACAGGGCTGAAACAGCATTCCCACAGAGCTGAAGATTGATGCAGTCCATGACACACAGCAGGAACAGTACCAGGCAGGCTGCTCCTATGCCATATTCAAGCTGGATGAGTTCTGACTCCCTGGCTGTGTTTACTCACAGCTGGACATGTTTCTGCTGGTCTGATCAGCTGATGGCCTGAACAACCCTAGCCCTTGTGCCCTCATCTCACCAGCTCTTTTTCTCCACCCTTTCATTGTTTTTCAGCTGCCTTACCTCACAGCCAGAGGAGTTCAACACCATCGAGTGAACTTGCAGCCACGCCACCAGGCAGTCCCCACCACATTCTTGCATGGCAGACTGGGTGAGTGTCATTGGGATTGGTTGAGAGGATTCATCTTGTTCAGTGCAGGAAGCTGAAAGCTTGCTAGCCTCAGGAAAAACCTCCCAGAACACAGGCAAAGGGAGAGCACAGGTACAGGGAACATTCTGCAGGTGCTCAGTAGGCCAAACTCACACTAAGCATGTCCAGGCTCCCACCAGTTGGTCACTTTGGGCTCACCAAGCTCAGCAGTGCCACCTGCACCCAGCAGCACTGCTCCAAAGCCATGCTGGATCCGCAGTGGAAGAAGCCTTGCAGGTTCTTCCCGCTTGGGCACCATCTCCTTCCTCCAGCTTTCTATCTGTCAAAAGAGCTGGTCTTTCTTTTAGCAAATATGCTGGCTGTCCAGCCTAAGATCTCTGTTGTCAAGGCAGGATTAGGTGCCTACTATATTCGTGTGCGCAGCAACCACATTTTACTACAAGGTTTTCCCCAGTAATGTGACCTAATGACTATTAAGTGCAAGCTTTTTCAGCTACCACTAACTTAATGTGCTTCACCAAAGCATGAGTGAGTCATTACGTGCAGGTAGCCATTACTCATGTAAATACAGTAATTGGGTTCTTGGGCACACCTCCTTGTGAGGCCAGGAATTCAAGGAGCAAACAAAAAGCCTTTTGCAAGCTCTCCTGGGTATTCTCTAGCAATCTTCTGTAATTCTACCCTGTCGCAAGAAATAAAGATCATTTCCAGATCCCATCTAACTCAGCGTGTCCCAGATTTTTACAATTAAATTGGGTTTGGTGAACACCACTAGAAAGTTTCCAGCTAACATCCTCGAAATCCCATTGGCCCTGGAATAAGAAAACAGATACAATCCCCTGAGTTGTGAGTAGGGACTAGGAGAGTTAACTCTAAACATTTCACTGTGCAGCCACTGGAAAATCTCATCCTCTTTAATTTCTTTGGTCACCTATGACCAAATTTGACCTCTGGTTGTACTCCAGCACCCTCTGTGAGTGCACTTTGAAATGGAGATGAGGGGAACTGTAACCACAAACCTCTTATGCCTTCTTTGAATTTTAAATTCACACATTTGACATCCAGCCTCACATGGTGTTTGTGTTTGCCTCCAGTTTCAGTATTTTCCAGGGTCCATTTCACAGAAAGTCAAGGGATCATAAGATTGGCAAAATGGCAGCTGTAGTGACTGCATGCTGAAATTTCCACTATTAAGGGTTTTAATCTAGACTCAAATCTTCATGTCTGTCTCCATCCCAATCCTAAATCCTCTGAATATCTCTATGATAATCAGAAGTAAAAGTGGTTAGCAGCCAGCTGAGGAGTCTGCTTCCAAAATCCCAACATTTCTTAGTTGGGATAACTTCTACTCCCTGTCTCTCATAGCAAAAAACCATCAAGGCAAATTCTTAGCTGGTGAATGTGAAGTTCTTTAGATTTATAACTTAGTTTGTGTACCAACAACCAGTGCAGAAGGAACTGGAGACAAATCAGTACTTGTTTCATGCCTGAGCACAGTCCCAAGCACATGTGTAAATATGGTAGAGGCGGACAAAGTTTGCCATCAGAAGCAAAACACAAACTCCCCCACCACAGGAACAGGTTGTTCCCTCCCATTGTGAAGGAAAAGATTTACAGTTCTCCCTGACATGTTTTTGTGTCACTAACTCTTTTTCTGAAGATGATTCATCAACTTGTTTCCCCACTGGATTAATAAGCTCATAACAATGTCTGTGTCATTTCTTTTCTTTAACATTTCCTCTCTCCTCTTTCCTCCTTTTTTGCTCTCCTTTGTTCAGAGAAGCAACAGACAACTCACCCACTATGGATGAGTCTCAGTCTCCAACCCACCAAAGTACTGATGAATAGAGGTATAGTAAGGGGATGTTTTGTTCTTTCATCCTTCTGCCCTGTAGTCCATGTTCCACAAACACAATGCGAATAAGCGGCATCCCACTGTCCCACTGAGGAGCAGCTGTGTAATTGTGTGCCTGTTTGGCAACAAGGCTTCTTTCAGTCCTTGGAATAACAACTCGAATGCAGCTCGGATCCCTCTCTGTGCCTTTTCAGCACGTTTGTGGCTGTTGTGCTTTCCCTGGTGAAAGAGGACTCCTTCCTCCGCACAAGTGGGCTTGGGGCCAGCCACTGCTGTGAGCATTCCTGCAGAGGCTGAACAGGCACAGAGAGCAGTGACACGTTCATGGCTGGGGATGTCTCAAAGCAGCGTGGGCAGAGTGCTGTGGGGAGATGAGCACGGGTGGGTGGGGACCTCGGGGAGCTGGGCAGAGCTCCAGCAGTGCTACAGCCATGGCACCGAGTGCCCCTTGCTCCTTCATTCATGCTGCAGAGCTGTGCAGGCTGTCTGCAGCAGTGAGGCTTCATGGAGCGAGGAGCAACCCTGGCCCAGTTCCTGTGAGAAGGCAGAGGGGGAAGGGTGGAGGGAACAAAAAACCCTTAGAATTATTCTGTTTTAATTAAACTGCAGTCACCGTCTGACACTCTCATTTGAATCCACAGCCATTCACAGCTGGCATCTGTTGAGTATTTCAAGCCCAGCTTTCTAGAGATAACCCATAAACCTCCGTACTCCAGCAGAGAGCTGGGAAACAAAAGGCTCTTTAATGTGCAGCCAGGTCATGGCCTTGCTCAGGTTCCTCCCAGACATCAGTCCCAAGGAAACCAGGTGGAAAACTGGAGAGAAGAGGCAGGAAGTGCTGGGCTGCATCAATGTGAGCTCAGTCCTGCGAGCTGGGGAGAGAGGGCAGGGAGAGAGAATCCCACAGGAAGCAAAGTGCATTTCCTGCTTCTGGTCTCCAAACAATCTGTAATTTGGAAGTTGGCTCAGATCAAAGTGTGAGAGGGAGATCAATTCTGAATGTTATTATGCAGATATAGCAGCCATTTTTCAAAATCTCAACAAGATTTTGACCTCAGTGTTTTCTTCTGGCAAGGAGCTCAGTAGAAATTGAGCCAGGAGCTGACCCTGACCTGAGCCCTACGATAAATGGCAAATTCTCATCAAGTCCCTCATCTGCACTGTGCAAGCAAACAAAAAGCCAGGCAGCAAAAGAAACTGTAGCTTGTCAAGGGATCCACCCCAAGACCAGGCTGTATGTGACAAAACATGGTCCTTTCCATGGCATACTTGACACCCTCTCACCAGGTTTTGCTGCCTCAGCCCCACACAGCCACGTTACTCTGGGACTGCTGGTGATGCAGAGCCTCTGCCCAGAGCAGAAATCCCAAGGACAGTCTGTGAGGTGCTACAGCCCTGACCCTCCCCCTTCTCAATGGGTGTTATGGCCAGGAGCTGTTCAGATGTGCTTCATGGAGGGCATCCTGCTCAGCCTTCTGTCTCCAGGTTGCTGCAGGGAGTGGGACTGTTCATAAAATGATGTTTTGTGCCCACGGTTAAACTCTCCAGCAGTTCTCATTGTCCTAACAAAAGTTTCCTTTCTCCTGCAGGACTTACAATGATAGCTGTTTCCTGGATTCTCCCCTCTATCCAGAATTAGCAGATGTCCAGTGGTATGGACAGGAAAAAGCCAAGCCTGGGACTCTAGTGTGAACCCCTGACCTCAAATTAATCACATCAATGCCATTCTGAGATCACCTCACTGCCTCTCATTTGCCTTACCCAGATGCACTGTCACCCAGCACCAGCTTCAACTCTAAGCACTTTTCTCACGATGCAATTCAAGATGACATTACAGAGCATTGGCCCTGAGACATCCACCACGACCGAGCAGGATGGCAGCGCGTCCCATCGCCAGCCCAGCACATCCCTGCAGAGCCTGTGGCACAGCGGGTGCAATCAAGGCACACGTGTGAGCAGCCATCTCAGCAGCTGGCAATGGAAAAAATGATTTTTTTCCTTTTAAACAACGGGAGCCTGTCCAGGCTTACATCAGATCTTGCTGTTTCTGTGGCATGTAACGGCAGTCAGATTTCCATGACCTGCAATCTGATCCAACAGAGTATTAATTTAAAAAGGGGGGGGGGGGGGGAGGGGTCAACACAAATTGAAACAGAGGCTGAGAATTACTCCTGAAAGTGCTTCTTTCATGAAAAAATACAAAAAAAAAGGTAAAATCCTCTCACTTCAAATACATCTAAGAGTCTCGCAGTCAGATCAGCGCTGCCAAAGTCACCCAACCAGTGTCAATGGGATGAGTTTGTTCAGCGAGTTCTCGCTACAAGAACATCTCTTATTTAACTCAACAACAGACACAACCACCTCCTGCAAAACAGCACCTACTTCTTTGCTTTGAGCCCATCCAAACAGAACCCCACGCACTGAAGACACTCTGGAGGTCTGGGTTGGTATCACAGCATCTACAAGCTACTATCAGACTGGACAAACAAGGTGTACAAAGGCATTATCTACAGCAGAGGTGAGAACTGCTCCTCACAGCATCTCTGTGGCTGGCAAAGCTGCTTACCAACACACAGAGCTTAGGGTAGTGCTGTTGGTTCTCTCAGACTCTGTGGAAGATAAAAATGGTCAAAAAACCTTTCTACAAGCAGATACAGCCAATGAATTCTAACCTGTCTCTGCACAAAGCATTAACGTCAAATCAAAGGGAAAGCACATCACAATCTAATTGACACGGTGAAGCTGCATTAACATATCTGTTCCAATTATCTCACCTTCGTTAGCACCAGTGTAGCAAAGGGCTCGTCACCAGCGCACCGCTGGCTGGGAGAACCGGTCTGTCAGGAAGCATGGGAGCAGCTTGGGTTTAGCAAGCAGCAGACGAAGCAAAATTTCACATGGAAAGCAACCACAAGAAAGAGAAGTCACCGAATGAGGCGTTCAACGCGAGCAGGAGCTGCCTACTGATACCACAAGGAGTTGGACGGGGGAGTCATGGAAGGAGCTGCAAGTTTACACTTACCTTTGAGCAATGCTTTATACATGTCAAGCCATGGAACTTTCAAAGGCCTCAAAGACACTTTTGTAATGAACAAGTGCACAATCTCGGTGGATGTTGAAGCTGGCACGTCTAGTCTTCACTGCGGTGCTATGCTGTTTTTATTGCCACTAGATGGGGGAGGCGCCCGGCCGTTCCCCATTTGCGCGTGCAAACAATGATTTCCTATGGGAAAGGCATTACAGAAACGGCTGGAGGGGGTTACTATGTGAAAAGCAGAAACTGAAGTTAGCTTTAGTTGAAAACAAAACAGAAGTGCGAGTGTGTGTGCGTGTTCCAAGAATAACAACAGCGTCTACCAGACCGCGTAGGGCAAAACGTTCAAAATGAAACACCGTGACTTGGGGGCTGCCACACCTTTCGGCATCAGGATTGCTGGAAAACTGCATTCCAGGCTTTAAAAGAGAATGGGTTCTTCGTAATTAGACTTGGAAAGATGATGGGGTTTCTAAAAATGAATGCGAGCCCGCTCGTGCTAATTCCTTTCCCCAGTGTGCATTTGGGATGTTTGCTTCAGCCCTGAGCCCACGCCTGCAGTTCTGCTGCCTGGCATCAGTGGTAGGGCTGCTCTGACACACTTCTCTCTGTGCTTTGGGCTTGTTAGCATGGGAATTGGCTTAAACTCCTAATTGGATTTTTAGGTGGATGGGAGATAGCACTGATTACTGACGTGCGCTGCTAAGATTCCGCAGCTAAAGTGAAAGAATTAAATAAGGACCAAATTAAGCAGCAGCAAATTAGCCCATGGATTTTTTTAGGGGCTCTGAGCAACTGTCTGTTTTCTTTTTAATTTCCCCGCTAAGTGGCTTTGGGTTGGTTGTTTTTTTTTTTTTAATTATTTTCTGTGTACCTTTAATTAAAAAGAATTCAACAACAGCGGCACTACGGGGCCTCTGGGCACTACAGGAGCAGTAATTCCTCCAAGACAAGATCTGCAGTTTTGCAGCAAAGGTTCAAAGGTGGCAGCCCTGAAATTAGGGGAGAAAAAAAAAAACCAAGTCAGCCTGAATTGCAAACAGGCTCGAGTCGAGAAAGCTTTCAAGAAATGGATTGGGTTTTGCTTTGTGTTCTGCTTTTCTGTTCTGCAATCAAGGCACACGTGAGCAGCCAGTCTGGTAGTAAAGACAGATTAAGTAAAACAGGTTTTACTGTTTAGCTCAATTCAATTAAACACAAATGTACATAAAATGTTAATCATGTGAGATTAACATATTGAAGTATAACGCGGAGGGGTGCATAACTAGCTATTATATACGAGCACTTGACTACCAACGTGACCCCTCCTTTCCTTTTTTAGTTTTCAAGGCTCCATCTGCCATGAAGCCACCGTTGCGTTCTCAGTCTCCCCGTCTGCAGGTCCCTCTGGTTGGGCAGCAGTCTGGCACGGCCCCCCGCCGCGCTCTGCTGTGGGCAGGGTTTCTTTTTAAACGCTGTGATATGCAGTCGAGTGTTGAAAATGTTGAATCAGTCCGATTTGTTTTCACTCTGTATTAGTTTTAGTTTCAGGCGTAGCCGATCCCCATTCAGGTGCTATCAGATGACCAGTTACTGCTTAGTTACCTAGATGTAAAGTTTTACATATATATTAATGTCAATAGTTTTATTACCAGTTGTGTAAAACGGACTCTCTAGTTTAAGAAAAAGAAAAAAAGAAGGAAAAAAAAATAATAATAATTAGGTCTCTCCTGAAATTGACTTTAGAGCATGTAAAATGATTTTACTGGATTCTGTTAAACTGTAATCAAGGAAAAGATATGTATGTTGTAGAAAAAGTTGCAGAATTAAAAAAGATCTGCTTTTAATTTATTCTTTTTGTATTAAGAATTTGTATAGTTACCTTTACATTTTGCAAAACGGTGTTGTCAACACTTCCTTATTAAAGCATTTTCAAAATGAAACCTCGCCGTGGTCTTTTCAACCCCAGGAATCCCTTCCATGCTGAGCAGCGGGGCTGCAGGGAGCGCTGAGCCTTCCCCAGAAACAGCCCCACACACCCTGTGGGCACAGGGCTGGGCCAGATGCAGAAGGCAGTGCTGCTGCTCTGCTGGGTTCGCTGAGTGAGAGGGCTTTGCCTTCTGCATCGCGCTGCGACAGCCACTGCTGTGTGTCGTGGACAGCACTGATCCCTGGCGCTTCTTAACCTGCACAGGCTCTCCATGCAGGCCCCTCCACTTCCCAGCACAGTGCCTTCCCTTCTTCCCACCTCCTCTCGTTGCACAGGACCCTGCACTGTCTGTCTGGGAAGCTCCTTACCACCAAAAGCCCTCCGTATCACAGGGAGACCTCAGCTGCACCAAAGCGGGTTGAGCTAGGAAAGCACCTGCCCCCCATCCAGCGTCATTCGTTGGGGACGAGATCTTCTGTAGCAGACACGTGTTGGGTTGGGGCAGGGTGAGATGGCAACGCTAAACCTGTCAGACATCATCCTGGCTCTGGGGATTGGTGTGATATTACTGCAAGAGCTGGGGCAGCCCGCTGCTCTCCTCCAAAGCAGAGCAGCAGCTCCAGGAGTTTCATGGCATCGGTTCCTCTGCATCTCCCCACCCCTCGTGGTGCTTCCTGGGGGGACCCAGACAAGAGCAGTGATGCTGACAGCTCACACTGTGCCACCAGGACACGGGGTCAAAGATACCACATGTAGCTCTGTCACCACCTCCAGCAACATCAGAAATTGTCTCTATCTCAACCAAGCTCATCTTTCGTTGACTGGATCTACCGTGGAGACTGAATGGCAACTGGCATCACAGGAACCCCATTTTGCAGTCAAAATAAATTAGAATCATTGAGCTTGGAAAAGACAACCAGCCCAACCATCAGCCCTTCCCACCGTGCCCACAGTGCCACATCTGCCTGCTTCCTGAACACCAACAGGGACGGTGACTCCACCACCCCCCTGTGCAGTCTGTGCCAGTGCCTCACCACTCCTTCTGAGAAGAAACATTTCCTAATATCCAACCTGATCTGATCCCACACACACTGTCCAAAGAGCCTTTCTAGCAGCACAGACCAATAGCAAACAAGGAATTAAAGGCACACAACCACCACCAGGCATGAAACCAGGCAGAAACAAGAAGTGGTATCAGCCAGGCCATAGAGGGGCGGGGAGCTGCTCTGCATGACCAGGAGCCCTGAAGTCCTAAAAGCACTCCTGACATTTCTGTGGTGAATGCACGACTTCACCCCACAGCATCGGATTGTGCCATTATTCCCAGCTAACGCAGGAGTTATCAGAAATAAACATCTGCAGAAGTCCAGGGGGGAATGTCTGAATCTCTAAACTGAAACACACCATCCCCACAAAACCTGTCCAACAGTTGGACAGCTGCACCACACCCACTCATCCTTACACTTCTTTTTGATAAAAGGCATTATTAGGGATTGGAGCACGGTCTGCTAGCTGTAACGTGGGGCCATCCAGCTGCAGAGAGCCTCAGCGCAGCGATGAGGAGCAGTTGCCATGACAGTGTTCCTCTTGTGATCCCCCCGGGGACCAAAGCTGGCTTTCACGTGCCGGGCAGCTGGAAGCTCTTACACAGATATGCCGTGAGAAAGTACTTTGGTTTCTTGGTTCCACATGCAGCACCATTCCATGGATTGCAAGGGGATAAAAGCTCTTCCGCCATGGGAGCCATTCAGCCAAGGCGGCTGTATTTCAGGGACTGTCAGCAAGAAGGCATGCTGCTTAAACTGCATTCCTCGAGCTTGATTAGACTAAAGCATTCCAAGCCCAAATTCACATCCCTACAGGAGGCTCATCCCCATTTAAACCAGTACTCAGGATACCATTAAACGGCTCTTCAATAATTAGCTCTAAAGCGGGAGGGAAAAATCTATCTAACACCATTATGGCTGCCCTAAGGAATTCAGTTCCCATTAAAGCCAACGTTACAGTGCTCCCAAACCACCCCTCGGCTCTCGCGGCACTTTCCAGGGAAATTATGGCTCTTCTAAATGAAGACAACACTGCATCTCAATTATTTAAAGAGTTCAACACGAAGGTCAGGGTAAAAATTTAGAAACAGCTCAGGAAATCATCTGGGTGTGGAAAGGGATAAAGTTGCAGTGTTATAAATGTTTTCTGTTGTAAAAATGCTCTCCGTACACTGCAAAAGAAATCCCCAGGCATCGATGTTAATGAAACTCTTCCACGCTCTCAACATCTGCCCAACTTTTCCCCACAAGTCCCCCTCTGTTTCCCAAAGGCCCCCCCCAGGCTCCACTTGGATCCTGTCAGCTTCATTTTTATGACTTCTAAACATTGTTGTTGGGGTCAGACGCACCAAACTGAAGGACCTGTAAGTCAGAAGCAGCCCTTCAGAAAGCAGAGCCTCCAGAAGAATCTGGGGAAGCTCCTTGAGATAAGCCAAGCCAGCACACAGCCCCAGCACTGCACCTCGCTGGTAACACCTGCTCTAAGTACTTCAGACGAGGGCACCAACAGCTCAAGAAGAAATTCAACATCCAACAAAATAGATCTGTGGCTGCTACAAATGCTGTACCTCGTCATGGGAGGTCCTAATTATGTTCTCTGCAATGCCCAGCAGACTGGAATTTTCTCCAGATGTATAAGAACAGGATTTGGAAGCCTGAAGAGCCATAAGATTACTTCCCCCAAGCCCAGGAGGTTTATATTAAAAATGTCATTATTAAACATAAAACAAGCCGAATCAGATGTACTCAAGATCAAAAACTCTTTCCACTGAAACTGGGTGTATTTTTCAGCTGAGAAATATATAAACTTCTTCTTTCCCGATAAATACCACATGAAAGACTTGCCATTAAAATCTTCCTATTTACAGAAATAACAAGATTGAAGTTTGACTGCTTCCCCATCTTCCCACATCAGCCTCCAGTGGGAAAGCAGCCAACAAACTCCACACGGCCTCCACGCAGGGCTGAGCCTCACCTACAGCTCTAAGATAGAACAGATTGGTTCAGATCAGACTACACAGCGTTGTGAACAGCAAACTGAAGTAGAAGTGAGGGTCACGATCAGTGCCCACTGCTCATGGCCATCCCACCCTTAAAAAGCTGGAGAAGGGATCTGGTCAGTGGAAAGCATAGATTGAAAAAGAAATCTACCCAAGTGGGGTTTGTTCAAAGGAAGCTGGAGAGAAATCTGCTTTATGCTTTCTTGCAAAGCACACCCTCAGTTTCTGTTGGTGTAAAGCACAAAATGCTCCATCTCCCCAGTGCTCTCCCAGTCCTGGAGATGACAGTGTGAGGCATGCTTGGTCACTCGGAGCCTCACAAAGCATTGTACTCCACACATTTCGAGGGGTCTGTTGGGAAGTGCTTCTGGCAAATGGTCATCAGCCTCTTCAGCCCCTAGAAATGAACAAAACAAAGAGAATTCTCTCATAAAACTGCAGCTGTCACACAGCCTATTTTTACTTTTCAGCTTAACTAGAAGAATTAAAAGCAAATGGCTGCTATTTTGTTTCTTTTCTTTATTGAATTGGTATTCCATTACTTCAAGTTTTATTGACAATTCTCTCTGAAAAGTGCTAATTATTACAAATATATTCAACAAGGCCAAACGCCGGATGCTGCATTTGGCTCCCACCAACCCCACACAGCAATACAGGCCTGGGAAGAGTCGTGGGAAGCTGCCTAGTAGGGAAGGACCTGGGGGTGCCGCTCACAGCAGCTGCACACAACCAGCAGTGCACCCAGGTGGCCAAGAAGGCCAACAGCTCCTGGCCTGGACATCTGCTAGAATTCCTTCATGGAAAGGGTGGTCAGGCATTGGCTACCTGGGGAGATGGCTACCCAAGGTCTCCATCCTTGGATGTGTTTTAGAGATGTGTGGACGTGGCCCTGAGGGACACGGCGTAGTGATGGGACTCTGTAGTTCAGTTTAATAGTTGGGTGTGGTGTTCCTGGAAGTCTTTTCTATCCTAGATGGTTGTAAGATTCTATGAGTTCAAATATTAAAGGAGTTCATGGATTAACTGAAGAGATTATAGGTTTCATTCTTGATGATAGATTCATGCTGAAGAACCATAGTAATAGTTTAAGCCCTCTTCACCAAGGCAGAAAGCAGTACCATTACAACAAACTATGTGTACAATAACCCTGAAAATTGAGATGTTAAGTAATTCTCAAGGGCAAAAAACAATTTCTGACAACAAAACAAGCTGAATAATTGAGGAGGAGAAGAACAAATCCATTTCTGGAGAGCAGAGGTGTCATCCCTTCTGCCAGTATTACCCCAGTCAATCCCACTGCAGTGGAGGAAAACAAAGGACAGAACATGGACTTTTCAGTTCTTTCAAAACACTGATTGCCAAAAACCAACATGACAGAAATACCATCATTATTCTCTTTAAGTCACACACAGAGTTCTAACAAAGGAGAAAAACTGCTGTGGTGCTACCATAATTTGGCAATGACATTGTAACTCCACAACAGCAGAAAGCAATGTGCCTGTCATTAGATCTTCAACATTTAACTGTAAAGGAAAACAATTAGACAGAAGATGCTTTGGTATTTTCAGTGCCAGCAGGAATCTGGAAAACATATCCTAAAACCATAAAGACTCATTGTGTGAGATGTCAGTGCTGCAAGTTCACTGTACATGATCCCAATTTCTCTGTGAGCAGAGATAATACTCCACATGATCCAGTTTGAACCAGACCAGCTAAAGACGACCTTGTATTTAAAATCAAGAAGAAAAGAAGTTAAAGCCAACTTTGTATTGGCTCATCAATAAGTTGTGCACTTCAGAAGTGAATCTACTTCGCAGAGAAACAAAATGCACAGGGGGAAGATGAACAAGATTTCTTTGAATAGATGTACCCTCTGAAACAGAGGGAACAAGCTGAAAAAAATCCATACAAGTTGCATCTTCCAGGTAAGTTAAGAGATCAAAAGGCACCACACATAAGCTACATCCATCAGATAACACCAAGCAAGCAATAAAATAAATCAAGTGCAATCTGTCTCTGAAGATATGCAATCCATACAGCAGAGTGATCACATTTGTTGGCTCTGCAGATGTCTGGAGCTCCCTCAGACTTGACAATATTTCCTCCGGTTATGATACTAAAACCTATAGTTGAAATCAAAGGTTATTCTTGTATCCCGAAAAGAAAGTCAAGACAGAGGAGGAAGTTGTATTTTGCAAGCCATCTGCTTGCAGGCATCTGCAGAAGTTGCAGTGGGAGTCGCTGAGCTGCAGCAGGAAGGTATTTGTGTAAACCTCTCCTGACAGCTCCAAGCTCTACAATGCCGCCCTCAGGCTTCATGGTTCAGCCAGGAAGGCCTTAAGTCAATGAGATGCAACTGGCAGAAGGCAAACACAGCTCACCGTGTGAGGAGAGATGAAGCACCCGATCCCTGTGTGTGTGTTCACAGTTGGTGCTACTACGGGATCACAAGCACTAAGATGTGAAAAAAATCCATGAGACTGAACAGCACGCAGGCACAGCCCCATCTATTAAATGCACCTTGTACTCTGACTAAGGCAACTGCTGGATGCAGCCAAAAGGTTGTGATCAATGGTTCTGTGTCAGGGTGGAGGCTGGTCACAAAGCACTGTCCCTCAGGAGTCAGACTTGGGAGTGGTGCTCTTCAAACATCTTCTTCAATGACACAGATGATGGCATCCAGTGCACCCTCAGCAAGTTTGTGGATGACACCAAGTTGAGCGGTGCAGTCAATACACTGGAAGGAAGGAAAGTCATCCAGAGGGACCTGGACAGGCTGGAGAAGTGGGCCCATGAAAACCTAATGAGATTCAATAAGGCCAAGTGCAAGGTGCTGCACTTGGGTTGGGGCAATTCCAGGTATTTATACAAACTGGGGGAAGATCTCCTGGAGAGCAGCCCTGTGGAGAAGGACTTGGGGGTCCTGGTAAACAAGAAGCTGGACATGAGGCAGCAGTGTGCACTTGCAGCCTGGAAGGCCAACTGTGTTCAGTGTTGCATTAATAAAGGGGTGGCCAGCAGAGAGAGGGAGGTGATTGTCCCCCTCTACTCAGCTCTCATGAGGCCCCATCTGCAGTACTGTGTTTCCAGGCCTGGGGCCCCAGTACAGGAAGGATGTGGAGCTCTTGGAGCAGGTCCAGAGGAGGGCACTCAGATGATCAGAGGGCTGGAGCACCTCTCCTGTGAGGAAAGGTTGAGGGAACTGGGATTGTTTAGCTTGGAGAAGAGAAGGCTCTGTGTCCTCACTGTGTCCTTCCAGTACTTGAAGGGAGCGTATAAACAAGAGGGGGAACAGCTGTTTATGAGGGTGGATAGTGATAGGACAAGGGGGAATGGTTTTAAACTGGAGGGCAGGTTTAGGTTAGATATTAGGAGGAAGCTTTTCACTCAGAGGGTGGTGAAGCACTGGATCAGCCCAAGGAGGCTGTGGATGCCCCATCCCTGGAGGCATTCAAGGCCAGGCTGGATGTGGCTCTGGGCAGCCTGGTGTGGTGGTTGGCGACCCTGCACATAGCAGGGGGTTGAAACCAGATGATCATTGTGGTCCTTTTCAACCCAGGCCATTCTATGATTCTATGCTTCTGGGACTCCTTAACTGCATCACTTACAACTACAAAGCTAACATTTCTCAAAGATTCCCTAATTCCTAAACCCAAATGGGTGGATTTCCACAGTCAGCCTTACCTGAATGTATTTCCTTTGAGTTTCATCATTGAGAACGTGGGCAACGTGCTTGGAGAAGATCTTCTCACGACCCGTTCGAGCGTGGATGCCGACCATGGTGACACCGATGGGCCACGGTGCATTCCCTATGGCCATCTGGAGGTAGGCATCATTTGCCTGAAGAAATACAGGTTAGGCACACTTAGCAACAACAGAAAGGGCATCAGATGTTTTCAATGCAGTCTGTTCAGGTTCCCATCAGCTGTTCTGCTGTGCTCACCTATACTATCTTTTCTATTTTGGTTACAGACTAAATCAGGGGGTGTTGAGGGAGAACAGCCAGTTTCCAAAGAGGCTGAGAGCCAGATCCATTACAAAACTGGGTCAAAGAAGCACATTTAGAACAGTGTTTATGAACGCAGTAGCAGCACTGAATGAATCTGCAATTTCACCATCAAGAGAGCAGACCCCATTTCTTAATATAGAGCTGAAGCAGACACAGGCCCTGAGGAAGAAAGGGAATAAAACATGAAGGGAAGACAAACACAAAGAAAGGGAGAAAGGCACAGATGATTGAGCTTAAAAAAGCAGCATAGTGATTGAGAACCAGGAAAACAAAGGGGAAAAAACCCACATGCAATCACAGAAACACAGCTTCAAGAACCACTTGGCGCAGGACATTCCTCCCCTACTAGCAAGCAGCCAGAAAGCTCACTGATAAAGAGTTCATTTACCATCTCCCATTCAGAGACTACAAAATAAGAAGTAACAAGTGTGACCAGTGGGTGCAGCTTCCTCACATTTGGCGCTGGCACAAACTGGGAGGTGAGTAACTGGGGGTGCAGAAGGAGAGCTGGGAGCAAACCTGAAGAAGGGACAGGACTTTGCCTTCACCTACACGAGGCAGCATCCCAGCAGCCTCAGTCAGATATCTATTTGCTGAGTGACACGTGGTTCCGTAATGAAGCACTGTATGACAGCACATTATTAAAGACCCTCTTAAGAATGTCACAAAAGGGTTAATTAAGGTTGAGTAGGCAGCTTGCATTCTGCTCTTTGCCTGCTATCACAAGTTGATTTCAAAACTCGTGTTTTTAAAGAATGCCATCTAAGAAAGCAGTAACAATTTGGGGCTGACAGTATTCAGTAGGCTGAACAACTGCCAAAACAAAAAACATAAGCATACAAGACAGCAGGATGCAGAAAGAGACAAATCTCTTCGGAAGCAAAATGGAAAATGGTATGAGGATCTTTAAAAGCAAAAGGCTCATTAGCCTCACTAAAAACAAACAACAAAACAAGACAGCTTCCAAATGTATACTCAGCCTTCCCCTAAATCAGTCTGTGAAGTTTACATACAGCCAAGCACCTGTGAGACAGAGCAGCAGAGCTGATTTACTGAGGAGATACGCTGCATTCCTGCACACTCACTGCTGTGTTGGGAAGGCACTGGAAAGGGAATTTCAGCATAATGATGATAGCCAAAGAAAAAACAAAGCTCCCAAACAAAACCCCACTATCATACATCCCACACTTTTAGTTCTACTTTAAAATGATTTAGATTAAACATGCCTGAAGGCATCTGAAGTTTTTTCAATCACAAAAGCAGGTTTGCTTGCTTACTAGACAAATTACCCCAAGTCCTTGGGACTTCAATAAGAAATACTAGAAGACCAAAGGCAAAACAGAAGTGAAGTTCTGCATACACTGGTTGCTTAAGCAAACGCTGTCACTATTTGAGTTCCATTTCTTAAAGCAGCTACAAACAAAAGCTAATGCTGCCTTTCATCTCAAGTACCAAAGCACTCCTGCCTTCTTCAGTGAGCAGACTTTGTCCAAAAACCTTTTCATTAACTTATCTTGATCTTAACAGACCAGCTAACATGAGTACAGCTGAAGAAAGGCACAGTGTCTCGTATTCAGTAACTCAATTCCCCTAATAGCTAATTAATTAATCAACATCCCACTCCTTCTATGAAGACATTCAAGACCCATCTGGATGCCTACCCATGCAACCTGATGTAGGGAGCCTGCACTGGCAGGGGGGTTGAACTCAGTGATCTCTGGAGGTCCTTTCCAACCACTACAATTCTGTGATTTAACCTTTCAATATCAGGTTTCCAACTCACTACTCCTCTGCAATGGAACCATTTCTGTTATCCTATTGGTGCTTGCAAGCTCTGCAGTTTCACCAACCTCAGAAATGCTTCTGACAAACTGTGGATCACACACTGTCTGAAGCCCAACCGTTAAAAGCCAGTTCTCATTTTAACTGAATATATGTTGGGTGTATTTCCAGCTACATGTCTTTAAGATGCAAAATGAAAAATGTTCACGTGTAATTTCAATCTATCAGAACCAGCCAGCCTAAACATGCTGGAAGAGAGCAAACAAACATACCTTCACATATTCTCTTTGCAACATGAATTTTATAATATCTGTTATTGATTCTTTGATGTCTGCAGGAAGTGTCTACAGGAGGAAAAAAAAAAGGAGAACAAACAGCTTTACATCAGAATATGCAGCTCAGGAAAATCACCCTACTCAGCATTTATACAAAAGATGAGTACCTTCCCTAGCTTCAGGACTTCAACAAAGGAAAACATCTTCCTTATTTAGATGAAGAATCTGAAGCAAGAGAGGTGAAGTGGTTACACCTTGTAGCTCGTGGCAAAGTGCAAAATACAATCCCTATTTTCTATCTATCATGTTGGCAACCCAATGAACAGGTGATACATGAAGCAGCACCTGGAAAAGCAGTAGGTAAGCAGAAGAATTCATGGGTCAAGATAAAAAAAGGTCAAAACTGGGAGTCAAAGAAACCCTGACCACCTCATTCATCCTCTCACCTTCATCTGAGATAATGTTACCTTAAGAAAGGACATTAACAACTGGGTGCTTTGAAAGCAGCAATTAAAATAAGCCTTAGAGGACAGTGACATCTAGAAGTGACTCACCCTTTTCCGAAGTTTTCTGAAGAGTGGCCTCAGGTAGGACTCTGTCTGCTTCTGAGTGGCACTGTTCAGCTTTCCCTGCACTCCCCGCTTCACGTAGTCCTCTCTGGCATTCAGCTCCTTCGCCCAAACTCCAAGAAGAAACTGCACAGGGAACAAGCAAATTTGTGTCCTACTGCCACCTAGCGACTGCATTGCCAAAGCAAATGAAACAGTGATTTAAACAAACACAGCAAAATGAATCTTCTCTTGGAGAAAACTGAATCCACGAGGCAAAAAGCTTCTTTCAGCAGTACGGGCACAGACAGATAGGAAAAACTATCCTACCACAAAATCTTATGGAGGAGGTGGGAGCGTGAGCAAAAAAGAGTGTACATAAAAAAACAGGAAACAATAACAGACTTATCAGTGCTGCCAAGGAGAAGGGGATCATTAGAAGAGCAGTGACATATGAAGATGATACAGTCGTTTCAGAACAACTTTTGAGTATGAGGAGGTAGGGACTCCTTGGGAGTTTTAAATGGAGTAGTGGTAGATAGAAGAAACTGCATTCAACTGCCTCAGTTATGCAAGTCAAAAATCATAGCTGTTTGGAAAAGTAGAAGCAGATTTTGAAGAAGGCTGCTCTCCTCTCCCAAGAGCTGTTGCCCACGTCTCACAGTAGTCACTACTTCATTAACCAAGGCAGTGGAGTATCAAGCATTACAGAAAGGCAAAAATATCTTCAGCACAATGAAAGTTTACCTCTCCAAGCAGATGGAAGCTCACCAAATGTATTTGCATGACAGCAAAAGGTATGTCACAGCTTAATACATCTATGAGAGTGGGTTACCTTCAAGAATTTTGTGATAATATCCATATCATAGTGGTCATCACCCCGTCCTAAGGACTCTCCCAAAGCCTGGAATAGGAGTCAAAAGACAAAGATTTCCACATTATGTAGATACTTGCCACCACCACAGCAGAATGTGAACTGGAGTAAGTTCTACTAATAAACCTAAACATCAGGTGGGAAATGGAAAGAAAGAAACAGCTATCTATGTTAATGAGACCCATTATTCTACTAAAAACATTCAAGTCAAAAAGCCAAGATGATTATTTCTGAGCAGTCAATACAACAGTAATTTTTCATTCATTAGCTACAAAATCACTGGTATAATTAGCAGCTGTCTAACAGCACTGAATTAAGGGAAACTGCAGGTGCATTGCATTTTTTGAGATCCCAGGAGCCATACAATCACAGAATGGTTTGGGTTAGAAGGAACCATGAAGACCATCCAGTTCCAACCCCCTACCATGAGCAGGGACAGTTTCCACCAGCTCAGGCTGCCCGGGACCCATCCAACCTGGCCTTCATCACTTCCAGAGATGAGGCACCCAAAGCTTCTCTGGGCAGCTGTGCCAGTGCCTCAGCATCCTCAAAATGAAGAACTTCTTCCTCAGATCTTAATTAAATCTACCTTATTTCTAGTTTAAAGCCATTATCCCTTGTCCTACCACTACTCTCCCTGACAAATTGGCCTTCCTTGTCTTTCCTGTATGCCCCCTTTAGGTGCTGGAAGGCTGCTACCAGATCTCCCCAGAGCCTTCTCTTTTCCAGGCTAAATAAGCCCATCTCTCTTAGCCTTTCTTCATAGGAGTAGTGCTTCAGCACTCTGATCATCCCCACGGTACTCCTCTGGACTTACTCTAACAGCTCAATGTTCTTTTTGTGCTGGGGGCCTCAGAACTGAACACAATACTCCAATTTATTTAATTCTCATTTCTTTCTTTCTTTTTTTGAAGATATTTCATTTCTCTGATGCATTTGGGCGTTCATTTAATTCTAACTGCAACGTTGAGGGAATAAATCCAAAAAACAAAGAGAAAACCATACTACTATGCTCCAGTGCTCCAGCTTCCTGCCAAAACCTCAGAACTGTTAATATTAACATCAATTTTTAGAAACATTTTCCAGTAGATAAACTTGGATTTATAATTTCTTTCCATTGTCCTCACATTTCCAAACTACGATGTATTTTTAAAGTCTCCTAGATGTGGAACATTCAATGCAATCCTTTTTCTGCAAGGGAATGCAGTTAAAGAAGCATGCAATTGAGAATGCAGCTTACAAACTTTTCCAATGAAGCATTACTTTCATGGTTCAAATCAAGCCTGTACTATCATCCCAAAAAGGGGATTCTTTGAGAACTAACAGTTTGATAAAAGCAGCCCTATTACAACTGGAATCCATTCTAAAACTGTCACTACTTTACTGCAGAACCCACAGTGCCCCAAGAAGGGAGGCAAGGCTGCCTCCTAATAAAAATGTATCCATTTCAACTCTCAGTTATAGATCAGATTACTTCTGATTTGAAGGGACATTAAGAAGATTAACTTCGCAAAGAATTTTGAAGATTAAGGCTAAAGTTCTTTAGCTCAATCTAATGTGCTTTTCAAAATACCAGCCTAAAATACCAGGTGCTGAATGCACCCACACAAATATTTTCCTATTCTTTCAAAGCCCAGCACTCACCATACCTTCATAGTACTTTCTGTGTTTTCTGTGAACTGCCTATTTCTAACTTTTACTTCTTTACCCCAAAAGTCTTTATGTTAAACACTCTTTCCATGTGTCTGTTTTTGAGAACCCATCTTTCTTGCATAAGGAAAATTCATCTGCTCTAAGCTCATCACCTTCTCAAATACTCATTGGAGAGGATTCAGAATTTGTCATCAGGCAATAGCTTTGCATTTAATTCTTTACTCCCAAAATCCCTGCAGGGAGAATACTGTTTTGCCTGCTACTCTTTCCCCATTTCTGATGAGGTGCTGTAAGCAAAGACCAAGTGGCTCTAGGCACTTATACTGCAATTCAAGCCTTAGCAGTATTCATTTCCAAACAGCATATTTAAGGACTTTTCAGACTGCCTAAGCTAGATGCTGTAAAGTAGGTAACTTCGAACAATACTGAAGCTTTTTCACAACAGTACAACAGTATGATATATCTAAAATCTCTAAATTAATTACCCACCACGTACCTCCAGTTCTTCAATAGTAGTATTCTCCTCATGGACTTTCAAGTCATTCTGTGAGTCATCATCTCCTGCTTCTTGGCCACCTACAATTTCATTCAAGTACTGCTGATCAATCTTATCCAAGGCAGCTTTCAGATCATTCCTCAGACCCTAGAAAAGATAAGAAATGATTTGTTTACCAAAAAAAAAAAGGGGGAGGGGGGGAAGGGGAATCAACCCCCCCCCCCCC